ATCTTCAGGGTAAACTAACCAGAACTGCCCAACATGTGCGTGTCTCCACTTGACCGGGCCGGCCGAACAGCTGTTTTCAGGAACCTTCTGAGTTCCTGCTCACAGGTAGGTACTCGGAGTGGCTTGGTAAAAAGCCCGGTGCAGTTGGTGGGCAGGAACGCCACCGACTGGTTATAACTCAGTTGGAAATTATGTTGACGTAGGAAGTGGGAAATGCATATGGAGTGGAGAACCGGCATTTAGGAAGACAGAGTCGTTGGCGCGTTCTGCTCCAATCGATGATGTAACTCAAAACAGCGGTCGGGATGTGCTGGCACTTTAGCACATTCCTTACAGGGCCAAACAAAATGTAGACAGGACAGCTAAAAGAACCAGGCTTTTGGATCGCCCAGTCAATTTCCCCCTTGCTGCATTTGCCCTGAAGTTCCAGTAAAGAAAACTACCCTGATTCCATCCGTCCAGCCACCTTCCTCCGCGTATCTGAGGTTGAGTAGCAGGGGTAAATTCCGAGGCTCAGACTTCCCTCCCTCCAGCCATTTGGGCTTGGTATAAACGTTTATATAGACTGTAGCAGAAGCAAAAAGATTTTGCTCTGCTCGTCAGTCTAGCCACGCTCCACAAGAGTCTCAACAGGTCTACCGTTGGCCTGAGCAGTTTGCGTCTTCTTCTGTAAGTTCATTCTGTGTATTTTGTCAACTTGCATTTCTTGGTTCTTTTAAAACACAGAATAAAAAGAGTTGTTCTTTATGTTTATGTATTTAGCAGAGGCTTTGGTCCAAAGCGACTTACTGTACAAGTGATAATCGGCATGTTGCCCTTGAGGCTAACAACAACAATAACAACAACACTGACATCAGTCATGGAGAGTAGGAAACAAGGAGTGGACAGTAGAGAGGGGGGACGGGTGCAGGGAGGGTGCTAGTTTAGAAGATGCTCTCTGAAGAGCAGGGTCTTCAGGCGTTTCTTGAAAATTGAAAAGGAAGCCGCAGTTCTGGAAGTGCTTGGAAGGTCATTCCACATTTGTGGAACGATGCATGAGAAGAGTCTGGATTGTCCTGAGCGTGGTGTAGGCACTGCTAGCCGACGATCCTGTGATGACCGGAGCGGCCAGGTCGAGACGTAAGCCTTTGCAAGAGGATTCAGGTAGATGGGAGCCGTACCGTCTCGGACTTTGTATGCTAGTGTTAGCAATTTGAATTTGATGCATGCTGCTAGCGGTAGCCAGTGGAGCTCAATGAACAGAGGGGTGACGTGTGCTCTTTTTGCCTGATTGAAGACCAGACGCACCGCTGCGTTCTGGACCATTTGAAGAGGTCTCACAGTACAGGCTGGAAGACCAGTTAGAAGGACATTGCAGTAATCGAGGCGGGAGATGACAGTAGATTGCACCAGGAGCTGGGTGGCATGTTGTGTTAGGTATGGTCTGATCTTTCGTATGTTATACAGCGCAAAGCGGCATGAACGAGCAACAGAGGCAACATGATCTTTAAAGCTCAGGTGTTCATCAATCACAACACCCAGATTTCAAACTGCCTTTGAAGGAGCCAGAGATAGGAAGTCGTTTCGGATTGAGATATTGTGCTGTATGGATGGTTTTGCTGGGATGACAAGTAGTTCAGTTTTAGAGAGGTTGAGTTGAAGACGGTGGGATTTCATCCATTTTGATATGTCAGAGAGACAGTTTGATATTCGTGCAGAGACAGTGTGGTCCTCCCGTGGAAATGACAGATAGACCTGGGTGTCGTCTGCATAGCAGAGCATCTTTACCTTGTTTTGCTAACGTTTCAGCTAATTACTGTGGAAAGTCCCGCTTGCATCTCGGCTCTTTCAGATGAAGAGGCAACCACAAGAAAGGAGATCAACGTGGACTCACTTCTCACCCAAATTTCTGAGGTACGAGACCTCTTGCATGACCTTTCATTTGTTGTTGATCGCCTTTGTAATGTGTAAAGCAGAGCATGGATAAGGGTCTGTGTACAGGAAGTTGTGGTTAGGCAACTGTGCACTCATGCTGAGGAGAATCTAAGTGCAAGCTGCAAAATGTCCTGTTGGGAAGAGTATAAAGAGGCAATCTTCATTATTTGCCTTCAATTATGGCTGCTGGTAAGAACCAGCACCAGGAGAGCCAAATGGACAGGGCGTTCGAGCTTCTGTCCAGAACCAAGAAAGATATTGATGCAGAACATCATGGGCTCTCTTGTGATTTGTCTGTCATGAACGTGGAGAGCCACAGAAAGCCATGGAGGGTGCATCTTGAGGATGGTGCTGTTTCTACGAGCAGCATTCCAAGGCCAGTGCTGAATTTATTACATAGCTAAACTATAACTAAATAATAGGATAGGGGACAAAAACGTATCTCTTCAGCATTAAGAGCTGACCGAAATGACTTCTTATGAAAATCAATTTCCTCCATGATATGAGTAAAAGATCGCTGAGGTATTAAACCAGAAGCTTTCCAGAGGTTCAGAAAAGGATTTTATTTACCTAACCAAAATCTAAATTGCTACATTTGATTTTATCTTGAACAATATTTTTAGTTAATTTACATTAATCTTTGATATCTTAATTACTTACTTTTAACTGTTCATTTTCCAATTGTAATCTTTTAATTTTAACATGTTACATTGATGTTTGATATCTTAATTACTTACTTTTATTTAAATTTTATTCAATTTTAATCTTTAACATTTTTGCTTGATTTTCACTTAAAATTTATTGTTTGTATTGTTTTGATAATTTAGCATTTCATATATCATTTTATTAAAAAATTATAAAAATTTCTCATTTTACTATTTTAACACTTCTCAGTAACATGTTTTGCATTTAAACCTTAGTTTGATAGTTACAAGCTTAGGATTTATTTATTTGTTTTTTGCTTACATTTAATGTTTACTCTTGTTTTATATTGTCAGCACCAAAAAAAAGTATAAAATAAGAAAATACCCCAAAATATATGGGTTTTCTTACTGTTTTGTATTGCTTATGTGGCCTTTTAGCTGATTTAAAGCTTTTGAGTCATTAAAAGAGTTGCTTTGATCAAGACTCAAAAACAAAGCATCGTCTCCTACGAGTTATTTTATTCAACAAAACCACTTTATCCGCTATTTGAGAGCTTCTTTCTCATAAAGGAAGCTCAGGACAACTTAAACGTTCCACCCCGAATACCCAGGGTCCGGCTGAGATCAACAAGGCTCGTAGCAGCATCTCTGGGTGTGAACTGCTTGCTTTGCATCAGAATTTTATGCTGGCCCTCCTACCACTAGGTTCAGTGGGATCCAGAACTCAGAACCGCATGGAGAAGACCTCTCCTGGCCAGCATGTTCCCTGGATTCAAGCCAGTGGGAAGGTAAGCTGAGGGATTGACCCACTGTTGGACAGTTTAGCCTACAGTTCCCTATGAAAGAAAGCTTTTGCCAGCTTGAGCCAAGCTTGTCCGCTCAAATTGTCAAGGGGTGTACAGCATGCTGGATCACAAGTAGGGCATCTAGGAGTTAAATGTGTGGAAAGAGCCTTGCTGTGAGATACATTTTAAAAGAGGAACTGACGCAGCATATACCGGGACAAGGGTGGTGCGCTTATTAAGGAGATATTGATCAGTCTTAAAGTTATTAATGGTGGTGTAGACCAACAATGTCCAATTCAAGTCAGTTACTGTGGCTCTGGGGATGGCTTTAGTAATTAGCTGAAACGTTAGCAAAACAAGGTAATGAACAACTCTTTGTGTTTTAAAAGAACCATGCAATGCAAGTTTTGTGCCTTGCCAATCACGGCGCTCCAACGGTTTGGTGGACCAATCACAGCGCTGTTTGGTGGGTGGGATATTGCTGCGACTGATCGGAACAGTGTTGCCAGATGCAAAATCCCACAGTATCGTACAGAGAGGCCTAAATTATCGTTTTTCAGTACAAATTATCGTACATTATAAATTTGATAACGTTCTATAAATGACTTCTCACTCCAATATAATATAACAAAGAAGGTGTTTTATATTGCCCTGTTTAAATAAACATCTTTAAAACCAGTAATATAATGCCTATAAACGTGCAGAGTGTGTCGGCACCACTCCGACCTCCACGCATTGACCCAACATGCACATTTGTGCAGTCGTATTTATGTCATTTCTACATAGGTTAAACGCACGTGACAAAACATCACAGCAGTGGAAAAACTGACCCAATAAATGACAAAGCAGCCTACTCACCTAGTTCCAGAGTCTGTTTTTGTAATAGACACAATAGCATAAACCTGTAAGCACTGAGGTGAAATCTGACTTCAGAACAGTTTAAAATTATGTAATGGACTTGGGAAAGCCACAGCAAAAGACAGTGTTACTAGATGCAACGTGAAATTATCGTACATTTGAGGATTTTTGAAACTATTGATCGTACATCGTACAGAGCCCAAAATTATGGTACAAATACGATAATTATCGTACATCTGGCAACGCTGGATCGGAACAACAAAGATGGCGGTGGCTTGTCTGAAACGGCTTTGGCATCAACGTTGGACTATTTCGACTTGGGCTTTTCTTCGAACCAAGAGCAGATAAAGGTACTTAAGTCCTTTAGAAAAAGGATGTATTTGGGTCTTCCACTGTGTATGGGGGACTTTGACATCCAAAGCTGTGAGTGCGTCATGTTTTTCGTTGTTCAAAAGCATGCAGAGACCGTTTAAAAGACAACTGAAGTTTCTGCCCCACAGCTGAGATCTGTCTATGGGTCGTGGCCAGACTCACATTTACAGAATGACTTGTTAGGCTAACTTTGGCCAGCTTCTCCGGAGGAATCCCAAGGTATTCCCAGGCCAGCCGAGAAACGTCTCTTCAATAATTTTTATTTTGGTAAATTTTGAAGACAGGATGTTCATTTGGAAATGAAAATAATACTTTGACTGTAAAGCTGTAAAACTTTTCAGCTTTATTGCGCACCAGTTTCTGACATTTTCAGAACTCTATATTAATAAAACAATTTCAGAAAATGAAAACCAGTAAAGGGTCTTGATAAAAGTGAATACTTTTTTTTATTTCACAAATTATAAAAACAGCTTCATTAAAGAGTGATGATTTCATAATTAATCTTTTTATTTGGATGTTTTTCTCAGTTATGAACCATAATACTTTCACAGATGAACTAAGCTGGTGCAGCTCCAGTGTTTAGGTCTTATGTGTCTATCAGACAGTCCATGGTTTTCATACCCAGAGTGCACCCTAGAGGTTTGAAGCTGAAACAGCAGCAGAAGTCCAGCCTCCACTTGCTGGAGATTTACAAACAAGACCAAAATAAAAATAAATTCCCCTAAAAACTGAAGATAAAAGTAGGTGATCTTTGCTGGACAGTGGCACAAAATGGCAACAGAAAAGTAAATAAATTGTCCCTAGTCTGGCCTTTTGGCTTGTTTGGCTCCATGTGCGGCTTTTCCAGCAGCGACTGCAAAACGAAGCCATCCAAAAACAGATGATCTGGTCTGTTCATGTCAGCTACTCATCCCGAAATCAGCATCCCTGATCTTACAGGACGGAACCATCAACCCCTGAAATTAACTGACCACCACGAAGAAAACATGCAGTGAAAAGCAGAAAGTGCCACAGAATTAATCAATGTTTAAAAGTCTTAAACGTTAAAAAAAATAAATCAAGAGCAGACTTTGAATTCTATCATTTAAAATTTCTTCTAGATTTGCAACCTCCATGTTTGTTGGCGTAGAAATACTGAAGAGCTCAGGATGTTCGATATTTTTGTTACACATTAAAACACAGTTCGAACAAGCATCAAATAAAAGCTCTATATTCCAAGAACTTCCCTCTTTCCCATCATTTTAAAAGTTTTTGCTGCTTTGTCTAGGCGTTGCTCTTGGCTCATAGTTCTGATACTGGAGGACACGTTCCGCGGCCACATAAAACTTTCCCGTTTTAGATCTGCAGCCTTGACTCCACTCTTGTGAAAGGTCGCTGATGCACTTAAACACATCAAATAGAGCCAGATCATCCCAGAAGGTCCACTCCTGGTCTGCTGCCTTCCACAAAAATCATCTTTGGCTTTACAACTTTAGATTTCAGGTTCAAATCTGAATACATCAAATCCTAAACAGTTAGCATAACCTGCACAGCATGTGCATGGCAAGTTTTAAGCCCACTGAACCTGATATTCGGCCAACGACTGCCTTTTAGCCTCCATAATGGAGAAGGCCTCTTCTTTCTCGCTGATCTCTTTCAGCCTCTTTTCCTCCAGAAATGTCACCAGAGAGTCCCTCATTTCCACAACCTCGATTATCTCCTGAAACAGACGATCTTCTTCTGACTGCTGCTCTGGAGTCTTGTCTGTGGGGAAAAAATGTGAAATGTTTCCAGTGAAAAACAAAACAAAGCAAAAAAACTGCAAAGAATCCCTGGAACACAAATATCAGAATCAACTGAATACTTCATAATGTATAAACCAACTTCAGATGAAGCAACAAGCTCAGTGTCATCTGGAAACTTTGAAATCTGATCTCTACAACGTCTTGTAGAACCATCGCCATAACTAGTGTTAACAGGAGAGGGCCCGGAACACATCCTTGTGGAGATCCACTGTCCAAAGTTAGGAGACACCATGGGTCAGGAACCCCATAACCTAGTTGCACATCGATGGCTTTAGTCATGAAATGGTCTAAAATAGGGCTGAATGATTAATTGCATATGCAATTAAATTGCGATGTGACAAAAGGAGATTTTCTAATCGCAAAGGCTGCGATTTGACTGGCAGCGAGTGGTTAACACAATGCTAATATACATTGAAAAACCCATAGGGATGCTAATGCTAATATCGCTGAATGGATTCTTACAAGTTACGAATTAGGAACGTGCCAAATTATTACAGTTGGAGTCTAATAAAAAGTAAAAACTGCCATTAATCAAATAAGTACAGACAGATATTTTAGTAAAGCTAGAAAAATGTACTTCAACTCCACTGAGTTTTGGCAAGCAGCTGTGAACGTAACTGAACTACGGAAGCTCTGTATAGACAAGACGTCAAAAACTCTAAACGCAAAAGACTTTAATAAATGGGACACACTTCTTTCCTGCAAATAAATTTTCACAGTTGATGCTAATACCTATTCTCCTTCAAAGGATGTGCTCCTGGCTGCAAAGCATCGCACCTTCAAATACAAGATGTTGTCTTTACTTGTGAGTGTTCATTTATATGTAGACACATAAACTTGTTTATATTCAGTACAAGTTACATAGATCTTTTTTTTTTTTTTTTGCTTCCGTTAGTTGAAAAATGAGAAAAGCCCCTTGAGAAAATAATTGTGAATTAAATCGCAATTAGATTATTTTCCAAAGTCCTTCAGCAGCCCTAGTCTAAAAGTGCATGGACAATGGTGTTAAACACTGAAATCCAGAAACATCAGTCTGACAGAGTCCTTGGGTGACTGGTGAATGACGGTGTTGTAAAGCACCTTGGGGGGTTGTAGAACCCTAAGAAGGCGCTGTACAACACTGAGCTACTGTGACCTGCTGTGAAAAATGACCCTGACATCAGCTTCTTGTTTGTCAGCTGTGAGGCTCTGTGTGAAAAAAATCTAATTCAGAGTCAACAGTACGGTGCTCTCACCTTTCAGCTCCATGTACTTCCTGTACTCCAGATTTAACGTGCTGTGTTTGTCCTCCAGTTCCAGCTGCCGAGACCTGAGAGGAAAACATACGTCAGTGCGGTCGTGTTTTCAGAACGGCCTGATGTTGCTGCAGGTCATCACAGGCTGCTCTTAGGATCTTTGTGGCTCTGGTCTGAACAAAGCTCAGCTGTTATCCAGTGGCGGCGCCAGAGGGGTGCTAGGGGGCGCTATAGCTACCCCTGGATTAGTCATTGCACCCCCATAGCACCCCCAAGTAAATATTAGATTTTTTTTTTTACAATTTAATTTTAGTTGAACGTGTGGATGTGATGATATTTAACATACAAACAAAAATAATCAGTAAATTATCATATAGATAGTAAAAACTTAAACCAAAACAGGAAATTGATGTTAACCTTTGACCTCATGTTCCACCTGTGAACGAGTGAAAGGTAGAGCTAGTGGTAAGATGGATCGGTTTTTGTTGCCCACATTTCCACGGGTTCCGTCAGAAACGGATGAATGTTTGGAAGTGATCTCAGACCCACAAAAACCTACGGATCTGGATGAAGAGCGTCAACCCTCAACCGCCGCAGCAGTCGAGGGTTTTGCCGCTGGAAATGCTAACGCTAACGTTAGCTAACCTTGCAACACTATAGTTGGTTTTCTGTGTGGCTGTATGTGTTTATGATTTCATGGAAAAGTCAGCGATTGTTCATATGTTTATGATGTATGTTAATGATTGTTTCAGGTGTGGTTGAGGTGTTGTGCACGCACGTGTATCTGCTAGTGTTGAAGGTGTTTTAGAGAACAATAGGTACGCATGACCACTTCCTTCATAGCACCCTCAATAAAAAGACTAGCTCCTTCATAGCACCTGCAGAAAAAACATTTCTGGAGCCGCCACTGCTGCTATCCCGTTGAGACTCAATAGGCATTTATAAAGGTCCTAACTCACGCCACCATGAGGTCGGACTCCTCAGACACCAGCGCATTCTTCTCATGGACCAACTGAATCCACTGTTCAATCGTATCGGGGGAACTGCTGTTGGCTGGAGGAGAGAAATGAACATGGCTTTAGGAAAACAACAAAGACATTTACACAAGGTTTGGTAAATCAGTTTAACACAACTCTGCTGCACATGAACAAAGCTGGTCTTCAGCGATGTTTCTCTTGACAGACGATGGACACTAGATGAGGCTTTTCCTTCTTTGTGATTTGAAGATCTGTTCCTCTGTTTTTTTGTATATAAATCAATTATTTTGTACACAGCCTTTTGTGGTGTAGTGGTGACCTTTCTGAAGGCTCCTCAAAGATATTAACAGTTGTTGCCTCCAAAAGATGTCATCAGCCTCTTAAGGGACCACTCTTAATGTGAACATGCGTTTAGCTACAGCGGCTTGTCAGAGTTACCAACGGTAACCAAGGAGGGCAAAGAAAGAAAATGGTGTTTGTGACTATGTGTACAGTGATCCCTCGTTTATCGCGGTAGATGCGTTCCAGACCTGGCCGCGATAGGTGAAAATCCACGAAGTAGGGACTCCCAGCATGCCCCTCGCTGGGATTCCCTCCACGTCGCACCTACGTCACAAACCGCGGCTATAAACGGAAGTCGCCTATCCAGCTCACCACTCAGTCATCGTTTCTTCAGATTCATGATCAGAGTTTCCAACCTACCGATCAATCCAACGAACTATCAGCTCATAGTAAGTTATCTTACTTACTTCTGGAAAGCCCGGCATTTCCGTGTCACTTCGTTGACGCTCGAACGCTCGGGGGTTTCCTAGATTCATCGTGAGCCGGCGTTTCACCGACGCTCTCACTTCCGCGTCTGTGAAACCACGCTCCCTACAAGCTCAACTCCCGAATCCAGCCGACCTGTCTGACATACAGTACTATACTGAATTATCGTATGATCACATTCTCTTTTTGTGGGTAAAACTCAAGAAAAAAATATTTTTACTTGGTTTTTTATAGTTTTATTACAAAAAGTGCATTTTATGATGAAATTGATGAAAAAAAACAGGAATTTCTTGATATTTCGCATAGAAAAATATCGCGAATCGGTGAAAAATACCGCGAATCGGCGAATTTCCCTTGAATAAGGCTCCAAAAAAATTCCGCGAAGTCGTGAATCCGCGATAAACGAACGGCGAAGTAGCGAGGGATCACTGTAATCTATTTCTAAATAAAATATTTTAAACGCATTTTAAACTTCAGCAGAGCAGATGTAGAATGGATACATGATGATGTGACATTTAGTGCCACACGTAGAACGCAAGGCAAATTTGAACAATGGAAACAGGATATAAGACTTTAGAGAGTCTTTCAGCTTCAGAGGAGAAACAAACAAGAAGAATTCAACCTGCTTCTGCGTGGAAACCTTCATTAGATCTAACCGTTCTGATTCTTACCAGCTTCTCCTCTCAGATGTCTCTCCAGCACCACTCCTTTCTCCTCCAGGTCTTTAAAGGACACCTCGATCTCCTCCAGCCGTCTTTGGATGGACTGAAAAACAAAGTGGCCTCTGATCAAAACCCAAAATCCTCTACAATCGATAAATATAATTAGCTGTGTTTGTGGTTCAGTGAGGATGTCATTAGCTATGTGAGGATGGAGGAAATGATTCCCTCCCAGGGATGAACAAGGCAGAGGAAGCGCTGTGAAGCACAAACTTAAGGCCACATGATGAGGTTAGCTGCAGAACTCTCCATCAGTGAAATCGTGAACCAATTTTAACTTGTGTCATGTAATCAGATCCAATGTGTTTGTTCACACTTAAGTCAAACAGTTCAGGGTTTCCCCCAGAAAATGAGTTACCACATCAGTCCGGTTCTGGCCTCCCTGCACTGGCTTCCGGTTTGCTATCGTTCACACTTCAGACTCCTCGTCTTTGTTTTTAATTTCTTCCAGGGTGGTGCTCCCCCCTATCTAGCCACGCTCCTGAACAGACACTCCCCATCACGCGCTCTGCGCTCCTCTGACCAAGGCCTGCTCGCTGTCCCTCGTTCTAGGTGTCGTACTCACGGGGACCGGGCTTTCTCAGTCCTAGCACCGTCACTCTGGAACCAGTTTCCACCCTCAGTTAGGCTGTCCCCATCTCTGCCAGTCTTTAAGAGTCGCCTAAAAACACACCTCCTCCGCTTGGCGTTTCCTGAACATGTTTGATTTTGGCCCTCTTTTATGTTGAATTTATTTCACAGTTTTCATTGGTTCACTCAATCCCTTGTTTTACACATTTGTCCGGTACCAGAATGTTTCACCTATCTTGTAATTTGAATTTCTTTTATTGTTGATTTATTCAATATATTTACCTTCTACTGAACCATGTTCAGCGCTTTGGGCTTCCCGACAGGGTTGCAGAAAGCGCTCTATAAATAAAGCTTTGATTGATTGATTGATTGATTAAGCCTGTGGGGGGGATGTGCTCCGTCCCGCAGCACTCCTCCGTGTGAGCAGGGGTGGGGGGGTTGCACACGTTCCGCTGCTGTTTCTCACCAGTATCAGCTGATGGAGGGCTCTAGTTTTGTTGCGCCGTTCGTGTCAGCGGACACGGTAGGGTCAGGGAGGGGGGCGGGGCATGACGCTTAGCCTGGCGGGTGGCCAAGCAAAACCTGGCAGGCCGCCAGGCTTATAAAGCGCTGGGGGGGGGGGGGGGGGGGGGGGGGGACCTGCAGTTCACCCTGAGGGAGCACTTGTGATCAGATCACATTCAGCCACTAAATAGTGAACCGTTTATTATACGTTTTAGACTAAAACGGGTTCGGTGAGTCTAATTCTTACAACAAACGTGGCTGCATAACAGACACGATATGAGCAAAGCAAAAGAAGCTAATGAATAAATAAAATAAGAACGGATGCTCAACGGTGGGAAAATCCCAATAACTGCTCGGGGAAGCACACATTTATTTCTCTATCAAAAACACTCCAGGAACATCGTGGTGCAGCTTGTTAAAACCTAAGGTACAGACACAGAAGCATCACCGTCTGAGGCACACTAGATTAGGCAATATGAGCTTTGTTCACATAACAAAGTCTCCCATCCTTGTATATGGCCGTGAATTTTACTTTCATCAATGGGCTTTTAATTCTTTCAAGATCTAGAGTTTACGGAAACAGCAAACACAAGTCAGCAGGTAGCAATGTAGAGCGGGGCGATAAAATGATAGCGATATAATTCTCTAGAACTTTTCCTTGATAGACATGAGAACGGGTCGATACAACACCTTTGACACAACAGATAAACAGGCGACAATGTTATTTAACTGTTGCTCCATGTTGGACCAATCACGTAGCTGGAATAGAGCCATGCACACGACACAGCAGCAGCCAGACGCACTAACGGCTAATGTTTGTGTAGCTGTAGCCTCTTACTGTAGACAACAATTAGGATAACCCTGGAAAAGGTAGGAAAAAAAGCGCCTCAAAAGGGAAGAAAAAGATGGAGGACAGTGAATTCGTTGACAATGAGGGAATGAGCAGTTCAGTCGTGTGGACAGGTTTTGTTGGACAAATGTCAAAGTAGCTGCACCACTAACGACGTCAAGAACAGGTTCCGACAAAGTCGGAGAACACCGCTGTGTCTCTTCAGGCCAAAGCGTCCCAGACGTATGCTGAAGAGAAAAGTGGTCAGATGACCCCGGTTTTACCGGTGTCTGGATTCTCCACAGTGCATACCAACACCTGCTCTGAGGTGGGACTTAGGGACTCACCTGAGCTTTACGAAATCGCTGTAATTCGCTCATCTTGGCTCGCCGCGCTAAAGTTTTCATCCTCTTTAACTCCTGCTTCTCAGCCTCGACTGGGTCTGACGGAACCGTCTGGAACTACAAAGAGGCCCGATAGTCTCTGTTTTCCACAATCTCCTATAAAGTGCAGTAAAAACTGAACCTCTGCTCCGCCTTACCTGTCTATCAAACACGTCAGAATCATCAGATGCAAACATATCATCTTCATCGTCATCTTCATCAACACCATCCTCTGAGGTGCTGTGAATATCTCTGAATGCTGTTTCTGTTGAAAGGAAGATGAGCGTTCATGTTAAAGGAGACCCACCAAGACCCTAAAAACTCACAGAAACGAGTTTCTTGGTCTGTGTGGAGCTAAAGCACAAACGTACCCACACTCTCTGGACGACTGACGTGAACACTGAGCCGCGAGTCTCTACTGATCCTCGGGGAGGACAGATTCCAGGGTGAAAACTTGGACCGTGCTCTGGGCTGCCCGTTTGGCATCTCCTTCCTTTTGAAGCAGAGTCGGTTCCTCTTCTCCCGGAGGAAACTGGGAGTGCTCCCGCTCCAGTAGCCCTCTTCTTCTTGCCCATCCAGGCCCTCTTGTTTAGGGGGACCTCCTGCATTCGCAGAGGAAGAAGAGCAGGAGGAAGATCCACCAGGGGTCTCCGAGTCAGAGTCTGCACCAAAACTCTGAAGGTTCCCCAGCTCGTTTTTCTCCTCGTTGCTCAACTGAAGCTTTCTCAGAGACAGTTTAAGACGGGAGTCTGGATCTGGTTTAGAGATCTCCACCCCTGGAACTGGAGATGGAGGTTTGTTTGGTTTCATCAGGACCGTCCGAGGTTTTGCCACTGGCTGAGAGAGCTCAAAGCTGGGAGCGCTCTCACGGGAATGGCGTGGCTTCGGGACTGGGCAGGGCATCGCCTCCTCCACCTCCTCCTCAGTGGGAGCTGCTGCCTCTGTGGACGTTTTAGACTTCTGTGGTTCTTCAGATTGTTCTTCGATTTGCCGAGCTTGTTCGTTGTGTTTTAAAGACTGTTTAAGGGAAGGAGCAGAGTCCAGGAAATACTCGTCATCTGAAGGGGATGGTGTGCTGTTCTTACTAGAAGACTCATTCTCCTCATCTATCTCAAGCAGAGCGTTTCTGTTTACCTAAACAGACAAAAACATTCAATGTTTTAAATAAATTCCTTTTTTTTTTTAAACAAAAACGAATCCAGCTCAACTGAAACAGGACCAACCCAATACCAACGATGGTGCAACAGAAGAGTGTCATTTTCAGAACAAGAAAAAATGTTTGAATCACCAGGAGAGAAAGAAAAGGAGTGGCCCACATTGGTGTCGTTTAGTGACCCACCTCACAAGATGGTTTCAGACCATTAGGAAGCAGCAGCTCTTCAGAGTGCAGCTCGCAGTAAAACTTCCCTGTTGGCGGTGACAGAGAACGAACGTTCATTCAGAAAAGCAACAGTGACTACCACCGTGAAAACAGCTTTACAATAAGCACTTCAAAAACAAACAGCAGCAGAATTATGCAGTCTTGGTGATCTGGTTTTATTGTATTTATGCTTATAACAGAGTAATCGATGATACGATTGGGGCTTCATGCTGCTGGTAGGACCTCCCTTGGCAAACAGGCCCTAGGTTAGAGATCAGGCAAAGTGCAGCTCAAAGACACCTCAAGTAAAAGGAAACTGATCAGTAACCCTAACCCAAATTTACCAAAATAACACTAGTTGTTGTTGTTGTTGTTTTCAATCTTTATCAATGACTTATCTCTTAGGCCACACGTAGCTGGTTTTTTTTAAAAACGAATACCCGCCCCTCCAAAAACTTGCATCCACACCACCACGTTTTAAAAAAACTCTGTCCACACGTACCCGGATAAATACGTTGTTAAGGACATGCCAGACCTGTAGGCGGCAGTACTTCCCCCGTTCTTAACCTCGTCCTTCGTCTGTGATCTTCCGCAAGGAGCAGTAATTCCGCTTGCAAAAACAAACAAACAAGCAAAAAGCGCTTGGACAAGTGATAAAGCGAGCGCAGCTCTGAGGGCGTCCATGCTGTCGGCTAGTGTAAACACAGGTCGCACACGTGATGTCAGCATTTTTTTGTTGCGGAAAGTGACGTTGCGGACCTTAAAACTCCGGTTTTGTCTGTCCACACGCAGACACCCAAAACGGAGAAAACGCAGATCTTCACTTTGGCCGGAGTTTTTAAAAAGATCCGTTTTCGTGTGAAAAAACTCAGTTTTCGTGTGGATGACAGACCAAAACGTAGGAAAATATCTACGTTTTGGCAGATCCTTGGCTACGTGTGGACAGGACCTTAGTTTACATCAAGCTACTATTACAATGTATGCAGATGACTCCACAATCCATGCCTCTGCAGATATGGATTTAAACAGGATTCTAAATGAGGAATTAGCAGTAATAGACACACGGATGACAATAAATAAATTAGTTTTGAATAAGAAAAAAAAAAGTATTATTTTAGGATCTAAATATTCCTTAAAAGAAAACCCAGGGTTAGTGCTGATGGTAGGTGACACTAAAATAGAGCAAGTCACGGATGTTAATTTATTGGGGGCAATAGTCGATAACCAAATGTCATGGAATAATCATGTGGACCAGGTATTGATGAAAATGGGAAGAGGGATTGCTGTAGTTAGATACGGTAGGAAGTCTATGTCTAATCAACTGCTAAGGCGAGTAGTCCAAGCTTTAGTATTGGCATATCTGGATTATGGTTCTGTAGTCTGGTCGAGTACATCGATGGGTAACTTGGCCACATTACAGGTAGCTCAGAATGAAGCGGCTCGTCTGGCTTTGCAGTGTTCATATAGCACTAGTATAAGTATAATGCACACACGCACACGCGCACACACACACACACACACACACACACACACACTAAAGCTTTATCAAAAGACAAACCGAAGGCTACACCGTCCCTTTTCCTGATATGACCTCAAAGCCAAAGAACAGATTGTATTTCTACCGTGTCAAAGACACTCTGATCACTGCAGACTCTGTATGTTGATGGAAATAACAAGTACAGCTTAAGATGATATCTAGCTTTGTTCTGCTAACATGACCTTACTGTGAACTGATGATAAACACATTAACAAATTTCTGTTAGTTACCAACTGTGGTGTGATGGTTTTCTTACTAGCAGTCATTGGCACTAGGCGGCCAACATGATGTCTTCTGTTTTGCAATGAACGGATTATTCTTCACTGTTTCGACACTGTTGCTGTCGTGTTAAATGATGACGCAGTTCATTATTTATGTTGAGTGGGGTTGGGCATTGTTTGAATTCGAGTGATTCCGGTTCTGATTACAATTCCTCATTTTGACTTTGGTTCCTTTTGATTCTCGATTCTGATTCTTTCAAGAGGCAAGGTCCAAAAACTGTTAACCACAGGTCTTACCTGATGAAATGATCTGAAACCCATCCATCCATCCATTTTCATGCCCTGACCAGATGCTTGAGCAACCTTAACTGGCTGCTCTCGATGTGGAGGAGCAGTAGGTCTACTCTGAGCCCCTCCCGGATGACCAAGCTTCTCACTTTAAATGAGAGCTCAGCCACCCTGCGGAGAAAAATCATTTTGGCTGCTTGTATCCGTGATCTCGTTCCTTTGGTGACTATCCAAAGCTCGTGACCATAGGTGAGGTTAGGAACGTTTTCCCATCGACCAGTAAATCGAGAGCTTTGCCTTCTGGCTCAGCTCTCCGCAGATCGGTACAACGCCCACACCTCTGCAGATGCAGCGCCAATCTCCTTATTGATCTCATGCTCTATTTATCCCCTCACTCATGAACGAGACCCCAAGATACTTAAACCTCTCCACTTGAGGCAGGACCTCATCCCTGACCTGGAGAAGGCATTCTACTGTTTTCCGATTCTACTCATTTTACAGAATTTCAACATGAATTTTCATTCTATAAACAATAACGTTAACTTGGACAAAAATAGGTTTTCAAGAAAAAAATGCGAGTAAGACTTGCAGCACAGTGTGTTTGTTTCTGATCACAACGCCAAACCAAAGTATGGGAGCTGAAGAAGCCTTTAGGACGAGAGGCAAAATGTCATGAGGATAACCAGAGAGGTCCATCTGTTTTTAACTAAAACTCTAAGGATGATCACGCCTAGGCTGACTGATGATCTACACCAACATGCAGCAGCAACGATCCAGCCAAAAGAGAAACTTTACCTAAAAACATCTCACACCACCCAGTTTGTTCTTTATAATTTGCATTAAATCCACTGTGTTGACACATTTTAATGAGCTTCCTTTGCACCAGTGTTAATTTTGACAAGGATTTTTATTTAGTTTTAGTCTTTTAATTAAAAATCTTATTAATTTATGTCACAATTAACTCGTCAGTTTGTTAGTTTTAGTCTTATTTTAGTCAACTAAGATAAATGCATTTTTCTTTTGATGCAATCATTTTCAACGTGTGTAAAGGAAATGTTAACTACACCTACTTGAAACTAAAGAAACATGAAAAACTCACATTTCACACTTTGGATCTATAGCACACAGCTGGTATGATCGGCTCTGAAAGGCGCTGATCAGAATTTGCAGATCACATTTTTTTCCACGGAGATCAACCGTGGATTCTTCTTCCGGTTAGCCGACTGGGAATTAAAACTAGGAATGAAAGTTAAAAATATATAATTTTGGGAAAAACTGACAATCAGTCCCGGTTCCCATCGATGCTGGCTGCACAACCCTACTGCTGAGTGAGGCCTAGTCCACACGTAGCCGGGTTTTTTTTTTAACGAATATCCGCCCCTCCAAAAACTTGCATCCACACCACCTCGTTTAAAAAAAAAACTCTGTCCACACGTACCCGGATAAATACGTTGTTAAGGACATGCCAGACCTGTAGGCGGCAGTACTTCCCCTGTTCTTAACCTCGTCCTTCGTCTGTGGTCTTCCGCGAGGAGCAGTAATTCCTCTTGCAAAAACAAACAAGCAGAAAGCGCTTGGACAATTGATAAAGCGAGCGCAGCTCTGAGGGCATCCATGCTGTCGGCTAGTGTAAACACAGGTCGCACACGTGATGTCAGCATTTTTTTGTCGCGGAAAGTGACGTTGCGGACCTTAAAACTCCGGTTTTGTCCGTCCACACGCAGACACCCAAAACGGAGAAAACGCAGATCTTCACTTTGGCCGGAGTTTTAAAAAAGATCCGTTTTCGTGTGAAAAAAACTCCGTTTTCGTGTGGATGACAGGCCAAAACGTAGACAAATATCTACGTTTTGGCAGATCCCCGGCTACGTGTGGACAGGGCCTTAATCACACCACCTGTGAAATGAGCCAATTGTCTCTCATCTTACGGTTTTTATATCAGTCACCTAATGAAAGCCAGTCAGAAAACCATATAGAGCCACTTTTACTATTTGCTGTTAAGAACGGTGTTTGCAAGAAGACAACTCCTGTGATCTGTGTGAATAAACCGTCTCCCTGCTCTGTGACCCCAAGTAGAAACTCAGAACACGACAGATCAAGCATTAGCTGGATCAGTTAGCAGCTTTTTGAAACAACCAGCTCTGGTCGAGCACTCTGTGCTAGACCCCGTTTAGTGCTCACCTGTATTCTTGTCAAAGGTGTATCCTCCTAGTCGAAGCGTTATGCCACAGTGATGGCAGGTGAAGCAGCTCCGATGGAAGAACTTTGCCTCAGCACTGATGCGCTCCACCACGTACATCGTTTGACCACAGAAGTAACACAGCTCACCGTTCCCCTCTATCCCGGTCTCAATGGGCTCAGGCACTGAGGCAGGTGGAGGCACAGGACGGTCTTCAGGAGACACGAGAGGCATCGAAGCCTGAGGAGAAGATGGTTAGAGGGCTGGGTCAGCAACCCTGACACATTACGTTTGCTTTTTTTTTTGCGAGTTTATTTGATAACAATTTAAAGATAAAACATCTGCAGACAGAGATATCAAAGATGAAACTCATTTTCTTTAACCTCCATGGTCTTTACTTCTTGGGCTTGGTTCTCAGCTACCAGCTTTTCCTGCAGAAAAAAGGAAATTCAGCTGCATGAAAAAGAAACACCTGGCATTCCTTTAAGAACGAAGAATCACTCCACAGTTTTAAGCTAAAACCATCTTACGTGATGAAATTATGCGTTATGAATGACTCTCAGCTGCTACCACGTAAAAATGTAGCTAAAAAGCCCTGAAATTAACTGGGTTCAAGTCATTTCTGTGTTTATCGTTTAATAAGCTCGACTAATAGTTGTCGCCGTGCATCAAAGGATTACTTTCTGAAAGTTTTATTAAATTCATGATACTTGGTAGCGTGCGCAGAAACACACACACACACACACACACACACACACACACAAGAACACATGAAGGCTGCACCCTCCCCTTTCACGCCATGTTTGAAGATATCTTTATCAAATGTGTGTGCGGGCTGTGTGACCGGTCAGGTCCAGATTCAGCGAGCTTACCTTTCGTCTTTGCAGAGAGCTGTGCTTCAGCTTGTTCAGAAACAACACAGCTGATTGTGTCCGGGAGAATCTCAGGGTCTTGGCAGGTCTCGGAAGGCCCGCAGGTTCTGTCACCAACAGGAAACGGAAATGCTGAATTTGAGAAACTGACAGTTTTCACATTGTCTTGTAAAAAAGGCTGAAATCTTAAGATGCCTGAGTACACCAGCTGCCCATATATGCTGCTTTTCAAAAATCTGCTTTAAATATTCCAACAGCAGATTTTTAGCCTCCTATTTCACTTTTACTGTATCTTCCTAAGTGTCACAGAAGCAGCAGCAGAATTAACTTGTCAATCCAAATAAAAACTCGTCAGCAGCTGCTGCTATTGCGCCCCCCCCCCATCCTCCAGACGGGGTTACTGGAGACTGACAGCTCCCTCCTTTCCTCCTGCATGCACGTCTCTCAGCAGAGCGGCTTCAGACACGAGCGTTTATCACACCCGCTCCAGCTCATTCACCGCCTCTGAGCCACATCGACACATCTACACCACAAGAAACCGTCAGAGAAAAAAGAACGAACACTCTACCTCTGCTGCCAGCAGTCAAGAGAAAATCCCTCCCACAGCTCCGTGCTGGTCCCTGATCAGCCAGCTCAGTGCTGACTGTTTGCTCAGTCTGCTGCTGGGCTGGCTCGGTGCAGGAGAGCCGCACGACCAGTACAGGCTGCCTCTGAGCACAGCACTAGCCACTTAAGCCCAATGAATTGTGGGTAACTTGCTCTTAAAGACGCAGCTCGGACTGGATTACCACTGCACACTTATGTATGAGGACACTTGACTCGTAAGGTGATATTAATTCAGTGCAGTGTCTAAGCAACCAAGTTACGTAAGATTATTGCTGCCGTCACTAACAGCTAGCTTCAGAAATGGAATCAATAAAACCATACGTCGATTTTAGCGTTTGATAGGAACATGATGAGTGTTTGACTGTTCATTAAAATGAAGCAGAGACAAATGTCTACCTTTTGGAGGCAAAGAGAGGGCATCTTTGATCTGGGTGAGGTAGAGGACCATGGACAGTTTGTCTATCTGTCCACTGGGAGACATGACAGGGGGGATGCCCAGCTCCTTCTGTAGAATCTTGAAGGCCAGCTGGTTGTTGTGAACGCTGTCCGACTCATCCAGAGAAGATATGTCACTTTGGAGGAAAAGGAACACATTATTATTATTATTGATTCATTTATTAATAGCGTGTTGAGATTAAAAACATCTATTGAAATTGATTGTGGAGATAGGTTAAATGATATTTTTCTTTCCTGCTATAGATCGCTCTTAGAGCGACCTCAGTTTGGGAGAAAAGTTCTGACAGAAATATGCCAAATGAAGGGCCACATCAACTTGATCTGCAGCAAATTTCCACCTCAAATAACCACAAAATAAATTCATGAAACGTGAAACCTTCAGTATTAATAAAGTCGCGGTTCAGAGTACAGTTCTTTAATTTAAAGGGCTTGTTCAGAGAAACCATCTCATTAGTGATGGACCGATATGAAAATTTTGGGCTGACACTGATATTAAGATCACTGCTATGGCCAATAACCGATATTTGCCGACACCGATAAACTGACATTAATCTGCCAAAGTCAGCAATTTTGTATAAAATGAAAATTATTAAAGCTGAATTTACATCATCATGTACACACACACCACACACATTTATGCTTCTCAGACGGTTACATTCACTGCTCACATGACTAAACAATTACACGTCACCCCCACACCCTCGAAAACGGGCAAACAAATGGAGACAAGATGGAAAAAATATCGGTTATCAATATTGGCCCGGTTTTATTTATCGGACCGATACAAATATGCTAAAAAATGACTAACATCGGCCAATACCGATATTGATGGCAATATATTGTCCATCCCTACATCTAATATTGTTTTTTCTTCTAAATGCAGTTGTCAAAATGCGCTGCATAAACATGCCAGTGACATTTTTCTTACAGATGGAATATGGAACATTTTAATAAAAAGCTAGATAAAAAAATACCTCCACGGGGCGTTAAGATGTGTGCTGAATGTACAGTTTTTCCTTTAAAAGTTAAAAAAAAAAATTAAAATTAAAATATCTACCAGCCACTAGAGGACACTGCTGTGCTCAAAAGTCAGCTCAGCGAGGCCATGCTGGCACTGTGTAAAATAGCGGACTTGACAAGTCAAGCAGCTAACTCTGAGCCCAGAAGACGTTCTAACGGTAAATACTGTTGTAAAACAAACTTATTACTAGAAATTTGTCCCTGCACGATTTGTCTCTGAACATGGAGCTGGAACATGTCTGCAGTGAACCAACATCCTGACGGCTGGAAAAGTAGTTCTGTTGTTGCAATACCCCCTCTGAACACCAGAGTTCACCAGAATGTTTGCCAGAGTGTCCATGTTCCATATTCAACCTTTAAATCCTCATCAGCCGCATTAGTTGCAGAAAGGAATCCGGTGGGAAAGCGAGCAAGGCAGAAAAGGCCAGTCTCTTCTACGTCACTGAGAAAACTAGCATTCGTGGCTCTGCTCTTGGTTTATGACAACAGAGGAATGTTTTAATTTAGCAGCCAGGAGGGAGCAGAGGGCGTCTTGGTGAGTAGAAGCTAACCGCTACAATGAAGGCAGTGTAAGAGTTGCATTGCTGTTAGCCAATCAGAGGCAAGACATAGCAAACATCTTAAAAAGTAAGACTCACCGTTTTCCACCCCATGTTTTACACACAACTAGAGGTGAGAATCATGCATTTGAAGTAGGTCAACTCAGTGTTTCACCAACATCCAACCTCAATAGGACTACTTTATTCTCCGGTAGGTGAGATTTTGAGCATGTAAATTATATGTGTACTACGTGTGTAAATTAGCAAACCGAGGTCTAAAATTATTCTGCCCAGCAATGTTTTAAAAGCAAAGTTATGTTTGTAACTCCTGCCTTCACTTTAACATTTTTTTTTCAATTAACGGGAGCAACTCACATTGGATGAAGTTGAAAGTGGTGAATCAGAGCACACAGAGCCAGCCCGGACCTCCAGGACTGGGTGAAGTCATTTATTTTCACGTTCTTATGGCCTGTGGTGTGTTTCTGACACCATTTTAACAACTCCTCATAACCACTGACTGACTCTGCAAAAGCAAAAACACATAATCAGTCATCACTCTGCCATCTTTAGACATTCCAGCTCTCAGTTACATGTAGAAACTGTAAACATGGGATGCTTCTGGGTCAACTTAACTCTAAGGAAAACAAAAAACTACACACAAGGACATACGTGCCTTTAGGTGGGTTTTAGGGCTGGGCGATATGGCCTAAAATCAATAACACGATATATTGAGGATTTCACCTCGATAACGATAAATAGATGATAACTACAGGTGTGCGCAGAAACAAAACTCGCCCACTAGATGGGGCTGTTGCATGTATTACATTGAGTGACTCAGGGTGGTACAGCTTCTTAAAGGGACATGAACGTTGCCAACCTACACACATCTTTTCATGTTTTTATAATCACATTTATTGACACGGGAAAAATTACATCGATAAGAGTCAGACATTTTGATAACGATAGATTTTTGATTTATTGCCCAGCCCTAGTGGGTTTGTACAAATGAGCAAATTACCTCGACTGCGCGACCCACTTTCCTTCTGTCTTGTACTGGTTGGGCGACTTTTATCAGCATCGTACAGGTGCTGGACCTGGATTGAACAAGAAGTGGTTAAACTCATTAAAGATCACAGACTGAAGCTCGCAGGAAATATTTAGTAGGTGAAGTTAAGAGCAGACAGCAGATATTCTGTCTCTCTGTTTAGACTGAAGCCTGATTCATGCTTCTGCGTCTGAGACACGCAACGCCATTATCCGTCCTTGCGAGCCTGCTGGAGAGCCCTGCAAAGACGGACGGAGTCGAGCTCTCTTTTCTAAACATCCGTCCGTCGAGACGGAGAACACAAGCTTGTGATTGGTCGGAGCACCGCTGTTGTCTCCACCGCCGCCATCGCACCCTCAAAAACATAAAGAAAGCCGAGGATAACTAGCGGCAGACACAGAGAAGCTTGAAGAATACCTCGCGAAAAAAACTCTAAAAACATGAACGTTTAATTCTCCCGTGACTGGAGGAGTGAAAAGATGCGCAGCAAGCGTTTTATTTGTGGACGGAAATGACAGGAAACGTGGGTTTAGAGGTGGCGAGCACATGAAGAGGTGGAGGAGGATGAGAGACAAATTTGTCCGTGTTAAAAAGTCTCTTATATACAAAACACAATATAAACACACCATCTTGGACCGATACATGACAGGATACCACAGAACAGCGCTGCGCCCTCTGCTGTCCTGGCGGGGAATTGCTTTGCAACGCTCCCCAGGAGACGGAGAAGTATGTGGGCAAAATGTCTCCGTCCGTCCGTGTCTGTCCCTGTTGGAGCTGACGGAGAAGCATGAATCAGGCTTGAGACAGTCTCTGTTCTATATTTCACAGACTAATCTGTCTCCATTACCTTCACGACAATAAAGAAACTGATCCGTCTGTGTTGAGTAAATAAAGGATAGCAGTACTGACCTGGTGGGTCTGAATGGAGGACAGGTTGACACTCTGGTACCGCGTTTTGGGATCAATGCTGTACTTAGAGTAAACTTTGCTGGTGTTGTCGGTTGTGGTCTGGGAGAGGAGCTGGTAGATGCTCTCTCTGGAGTGAACAGGTCAAATTAAATCACATCAAAATGAAAAACAAGTCTGGCCTACATTTCTTATCAAATCAAAAACACTTTAAAACAAATTTTAACAATCTAGATAAGCTCAAAAAATTATCTACTAGCATGCTAATTATCATATAACTGATGAGACATGATGCTAATTCAAAGTGCAGTGGTTGCATGAGTGAATCCAGTGCTACACACTCATGGTGAGAAAATATACATATTCTAATTTCAGTCCTTGTGACCAAATTGGACCATTTTAGCAGAATCCGCAGTGTTTCGGGTTTGTGTGACAGTGGCACTGTTAGCAGGAAACAAGAGAACAGGAACAAGTGCATTACATAATCTAGTTTGCCTGGCCATGGTGAGAACTGTATCTCGTGAAGTTGTTTTCCATCAACTCAGATATGTAGTTACCTCTCAGCTAGGAGTTTCAGATGTGGGACACCCATACCCCAGCTCCTCACCATCCACGCAGCATCAAAGGCGGCAAGGAAACCACGGGCAATGCCTGTCCCCAGAGGCCAGAAGGGCTGCAGCGAACAGAACAGTAAAGTTGTCATAGACTGACATGGGCCGCTGACAGGTTTTAAGGTAGTCCCATGTAGGCTTTGTTGCGTTTCCTGGTTTTTCAAACGCTACAGCATCAAAACATGAACCTCTTTCTGTGGTTTAAATATTTTCAGCATGGTCCCAAAACTGGCAGTGTAACAAAAACAGCTCTTGTATTACACCAAGCTAATTGCTAGCAGCACATCTCAAACAGTGGGGTCTTGAAAGTAACCCCCATTTCACACCAGCTGCGTCTGCAGCGCAGTTTATTCATGAGCTATGTTGGGTGATAAGCATTCCTTCAATCAATGCTAGGCCCTTGATTTTCTGGTGTGTTTTTCCTTCGTTTTTGTTAAGAAAGCTGCTGTCATGGACCTCCGACCTGATTGCTGCCATCAACAGTGGATCAAGTGATCTTGGGGTTCTGGAATCAAGGGACTAATGCATAGGACTCATAGTTCCAGCTACTTTGTGGTTAGAGTCCTACTTAACTTATTGGATCTTTTGAGATCCGCTAAGCTAATTCTACTTCTCTACAACTACCCCCACCGCTGGTGCTCCCAAAGGGTGAACCTTGGGCCCATTGGTCAATTTATTGTTTAAAAAAATAAAGAAATAAAAGCCCTCAACAACATTGCTTTTTAGGATGATGTCCAGTTCCACCTGCCCCCAGTACCACATTGCAAGGATTGTACTCAACCTTTACTAAGCTGCTTTAGTCAGATCAGACCCAGGGTAGTCGGTCACATTTTCCCCTTTTTTCTCTATGAAGAAATCTCACGGTGCATTCAAAGGTACTTTTAAGTTTGATGAACAGCTGAAATTGGTTGACTGACAACCTGATGGAGTGTCCAGTGCTTGCAGCGGTCTCTTGTAGCAACTGATCAATGTAATTGTGTTTAAATGGCAATACTGATGCTATAAGCTTATACTGAATGAGTAACAGATATGTATTCAAGCCAATTTCTCTCCTAGACATCCTTGATAAAGATGCTTGCTTTAATAAACACCTACTTAATTAACTGGGGGAGCTTGGACTCCTATGCTGAGCCAAGCCAGAGGGAAGCTACCAGCAGGCATGGAACAACACCTAAAAGACCATTAGCAGGGTGATGGCAGGCAGAAGCAGGGTGAGTGCAGAGCAGCTAAAACTAGGCTAAGTGCCGACACAGGCAGACCAGCCTCCCCTACAATCTTATAATATCCATCTATCTCTGAATTCAGCTAAAAGATAGAAATTCTATGTACCACGGAAGCTGATGGCAGTCATCATAGCAGCTGTGTATACCATGTTACAGAGGCCACGGTGGAGCCCAACAACATCAGCGAGCAGCAGAGGAACTGTTCTGTGGCCTTGTTAAAGATAGGAGATGTCAACCAGGCAAGTCTCAAAACTGTCCTGCCAAATTATACCACAATATAAACAATGACACTAGAGAAAAAACTCTAGACAGTCTATCAACATTAAAAACCGTTTTAAAGCTGCTCCCCCGAGTTGGGAACTCTGACCATTGGACTGCAATCTTTAGACCAGCTTGTAAACAAATAAATCAAAAGTGAAACATTACAAGCTGGTGAAAAAAGCTGTATGCACACAAGCTAGAAAACGTCATCCAAGACATTAATGGCAGGGCTTCAAGCACATCAAAGATTAAACATTTGTGGGCGTGGACTAACTAGGCCATCAGATTCCGATAAGAGTAGCAGCAGACAGTCCGAGTGCATAGTCACACATCAGAACCCCTCTCAATGAGCACCACCCGAGGGGAGCATCCTGAGCCTGCTGTTGTTCAGCCCCCTGACACGACTGCACGGCCTGATCCAGCAACAACCACACCATAAAGTCTGTGGACGACACAACAGTCTGACTCATTGGGAGTGCACTTAAAGAAAGGAGGTGGAGCAGCTTGAAGGGCGGTGCATATTACAAGACCTGACCATCACCATAGACAATACAAAGAATATGGTTATTGACTTCAGAAAGTCCAGGATAGATCACCACACTCAACTCTCCATAAACGGTGCTGCGGTGGTGAGGGTTGGCAGCATAACCTTCCTGGGCATTCATCTCGCTCATGACCCGACTTGCTCCATCAACTCCACAGCAGTCCGCAAAGAGGCCTAAAGTGCAAGTAAAGGCAGGACTCCCCATTCCTCACCTTGTTACACCCCCAATGATCTCTTAAGTTGTGACTGAGTATGTGCTTTTATGTTTGAGGTGCTTCGCTCTGTCGTCTGCCAGGGGGTAGGGCTGGGGTGCCTCCCCCCTTGTCACCCATTCTTTTATTTCTGCAAATGAGAGTGCCATGAAGTGGCTGCATACCACAGTCAGCCTGAACCTGTGTTGTGTGTTTAATGTGCTGTATATCTGCTCTTGGATGAATTGTGCTCAAATTAAATTTCATTGTACCGGGAAACTGGTTCAACGAGAAGTGATTCTGATCTTTAGCAAAGTAAACAACTTGGAGGCTGCAGCTTCAGTAGATTTAGCATACACACATATAACAGCATCATCTGAATGTAGATCTGTAAAGAGACCACTTTCCAGGAAATCATTGACAGAAAGACTAAATGATAAAGTGCTTATTACAGATTAGAGCTGAACTAATCAAGTTAATCGATTATTAAGAGATGACAACTTATTTAGTCATCGAATAGTTGTTTTACAATCATTTTACCGTAAGTGATTTATTTTTAATACAATCCGTTAAATTTGTGACCAGTGTGTGGCAGTAACGAGCCACCAATCTACCAGTGGAGTAAAAGAAGAAATCAGCCAATAGGTACCCTTGTTTTCATGATGTACCACACGCATGGCTGACGTGCATACTCACGCTGAGCAAGATGGCGGAGCAAGGTACAGGAGAAAAACAGAAATGATCAAACTGAAGAAAAAGCCCAAACAAATGCGCCTACAGTATGAGACCACTTCACTCTAGATGCCGTAAAAGGACGGGTGACCTGCAAGACACGCAAAAACGATCTAGCATGGCACGGAAACACGACTTTTCTAAATGAACATCTGAGACAAAAACATGGAGTAAATGCAGCCTGGTAAGGTAATAGGTGTAACTTACAGTACACTAAACAGGAGGGTATTATCCGAGCTTGGTTCCTCACTATAATATGGATCACTTTTTTGTAACTTCACTGTTTCGCTGAATTTGTTGTAGTACAATTTTACATGGTATCTTTGTAGCATACCAACGTTCATTGTGTTCTACTGCTGATTGACAGATGCTATTGTGAATATCCTCCATGTTGTGTATCCTGCGCTTTTCAAATTAAGCACATCGGTTCATAAGAATGTTCGAGAAAAACAGCACAAACCCATAACTATGTTCCTCACTTGAAAAAGTACAACTGCATGGAAAAAGATGTAGGCGAGCGGGGTGCGGATGAATAAAACAGCATAGTTATACTTGTATGCTTTAAAATCTACAAAGGTTTTAACTTGGAGTGTTTAAACAAGCAAGAAATACGAGAAACTTCTATTTAGTGTAATTTTGTCAGAAAACATGTTTTAAGTGTGTTGCAAGGTGTTTTGCAGCCTTAAAACATAATTGTAAAAACTAATGATTACTTCTTCCGGATTTCTCCTGCTGCGGGTTATATTGTAGATTAACAACAAACGATTAATCTAAAAATAATTGACAGATTAATTGATTATGAAAATAATAGTCGCAGCCCTGTTGCAGATCCTTATGCAACACCTTAGCAGGAATGAGCATGACCTACTTTCACATTTTCCAACTAGTTTGACAAATGGGACGATATTCAAGCTACTTAATAGTTTTCTCCTGTTTTGAAAGTATATGATGTGCTATTTGTTTAAATCAGAAAAGTATCTTCTGTGCTCAAATCTACGTATACATTGTCAGGGTTTAATTTAAAAATTACACAATTCTCTGAGTGACGAGCACTCATGTTATCAAGTTAGTCCCAATAAACCTGAAAAAGTAACATTCTTACCTCCACTAGGCAGTCACCAACCAGAGCAATTAGCAGCTTCTTGCCCCTCCTCTCCCGGACCAGTGAGGCATTCTCAGAACGGTGCATGCAAGTGAAGTCAAACATGGCCACATCTGGTTTGCGGGCATGATTCTGAGCAAACTGGAGGTCAGGCAACTGGCCCCCAGTGGAGAAGTATGCAGCATCGTGAGCATAAAGGCACAAAGCCACATGATCCACATTTCCAGGAGCCAAAAGTTGATCAGCATCGTTAAAGTCCTGTAGATGCAAAGTGGCATAACTCAAGACCTTTTCTGAATAAAGCCGGTTTGTTGTATTAGATTGGAGAAGGTTGGAGAAGAATACAAACTGATTCATTGTTTATCTTTAATTGGTAGAGCTGCAGTTTGTGCCAGTGAACATAATAAAGGATGTTGTGATCCCACCTGTAGAATGACCCCCCTCTCCAGTAAGCTCTTCTTCTTGGCAGTCATGACAAAGTAGTGGGTGTCGTCTCTGTAGTAAACAATATTCTCCAGATCAATAGCTGGCAAGAAAGACAGCACAGTGGGTAAACATACCTTCAGATGGGTAGAGTCATTGTTTAAATACTTCTACTGGTAGAAATGGGTTTAGGATGGAAATCTCATGGTATCACACAGGAGATTAAATCCCTTCAGTGGGTGCGACGAGAATAAAAAGACTTCTTACAGTTCATGTAAATGCTCTCTGAAATCAAAATGTAGAATGGGACTATCCAGCTCACCTGTATTTGTACAGAGCCTTCTCGGGGTTCCACAACCCCCCAAGGCACTTTACAACATCCATGCACACACTCATTCACACAATGTTGATGACGAGACACACTGTGGCTATCCTGGGGTGCACCGACGGTAGCGAGACTGCCGAACACTGGCGCCACCAACCACCACCAGCAGGGTTAAGTGCCTTGCCTAAGGACACAACAGCGACATTTCGTGCTGGGAACCGGGATCAAACCTACAACCTTCCACCTATTGAACCTCCAGAGTATTCCCACTAGGGATGTGATTCTTAGAGCAACTCACGGTTTGATTCGATTCTGATTCTTGGGGTGCCGATTCGATTCAGAATCAATTCTCAATTTAAATCGATTCACAATCAGTATTAACAAAGAGAGTCAGCTCCAGGATGAACTACTTTGTTGTACAAGTTAGTTGAACCTATGGGACATTTTTATTTGACTTTAAACTGGTCATGCTCCAAAAATGCTAATTTACAAGGTAAAATAAAGTGATTCTAAAACTGTAAAAAGACGTAATGTTTTGACCAAAAGGCAACATTTATTTTTGCTTACCTTGTAAAATATAACAAATCTGTAGTTACCCAACAGTAGCTTTGAAAGTAATACGATCAAATACTTTTCAAGTACGTGTAGAAACAAGTTACATGAGTAATCCTGAGTGCTCATTTATCAACTTAGAAAATAAATATGAGAATATCTCAAATTTCTGAGTATGGAAAAAATGACATTCGAGTGCCGTCTTATCAGCAGATTCAAACATAAATCATCTCAATTTATGGGAGCACAAAAGTAAACAGAGGACTGACTCTCCTAACAAAGATAAAAACGTGCATCTCAAACCTGTAACATGCCAAATATTTCAGTTCTTGGAATCGATTCTGAACCTTTGTGAATCGATTCTGAATCTTTATAAATAAGAATCCCGATTCAGACTTGAATCAATTTTTTTCAGCACCTCTAATTCCCACTCAACTTCAATTGCTGTTGTTTCAGAAGTGGATATTTAAACTTATTTTCTTAGTCTTGCTGTGAATTTCATTTATAATAAAGTCCTTGCATTCATACAAGAATTGTGTAACATTGAAGGAAATGCATGATTACGGAAGTGATTATTGCTTCCTGGCAAGGCATCTTCTGTTGTGTAACAGTCTGATCAGTCACCTTTAGTACAAAAGATAACTTGTAAGGGTTATGCCTATGTGGAACGAGCTCAAAGAGTGGATAGAACCCCCCTACAAAAAAACGTACCAAAATCCTTACACCTCATTCATCACTGTAAATGCCACTCTGCTAAGAAATGCCTTTTCTTTGTAAGATTTCATTGAATCGTCTCAAGTGTGTTGGCCAAAAATGATACTTCTTTTAGGTCAGATGGTGCTTCTGTAAAGAAATATATTTGCTGACATAATTAAAACAGCTATTGTTTTCTATTGTACCCCACTGCAGTAACCTTTCACTTCAGTTATCGCTGTGATACAATAGAGATGCATTCACAAAGCTGGCAGAATGTGGAGGTGAGAAACAACCAAAACACCTGGTTGCTCCAATCAAAAAGCAGAAGTAGCCGTGGAGCTTGTTCCTAGGAGAGGCTATGTCACGGAATTTGTCCATAGGTGGATATAATCTAATAAACCTGGGTTGCATAATCTCCACTTCCCTTTATCTTAAAGTGATGTTCTCAGTGAGTGCCATGAGGAGCCATGAAGTGACCAGCTTGCACAGAAGACGTGACATTACACACAGCAGAGTTTTACTGAAGTAATAATGAAAGCTACACATTAAATGTGATTGGACAATCTTCACTCCTCTGGTGCCTCTGGTGTAAAAATCAGACGAGATGCAACAAAACCGTTCAGACAGGGGTCCATTTGAAAAGCATCAGTTATGTATGTCAGGTCCACAAATGAAAGTGGCCAAGGTATATTTTGAAAACACCAAAACACTTCAAAAACTAACTATGGTTTTATATTTGAAGTCTGGTGAAAAGTGGAAGAAATTTAATACTTTTTTCATTTTCATACATTCCTGTCGTCTGGATTTCTACCTGTTTGAGAGAGTAATTGTTGGAAGAACTTCTGGTTAAAGATGCGCGCTACGCCACTGATCTCTGGTACTTGGGCCTCAGCTGTCGTGTTCCCATTGATGAAGTTGGCTGTGATGCCAATGGCCAGTTTTCCTCTCAACTCCTTGTGCTGAAAACCTGACAGTTTGGGGGAGGGGGAGAGTGTAAAGTTTATCTACCTAAAAACACCACAAAGTAAGCTTTCATTTGTAGGCGATATATAATTCAAAACTGTAGCAATCTGGTTTGTGCTTTTTATTGCAGCTGAGTGAAAAAGTGCTTCCAGTGTGTGTGTGTGTGTTTAGCTTACCATCAGGGACGAACCTTCCTCCTCCTGCAGAAATGAAGACATCAAACTGGAAGGCTGCAGCAGGATGAGATGGAGGCTCTATTTTGGCCCTCCAACCTTTCAAAGACAAACGTTTCTGTGTCAGTAGATTTCAAAATAACCTTAAAAGGTGTTGAACACTTGTTCAGTCAACACATTTGCAGCTGAATCAGGAAGTACAAGTCAGCAAGAGGACAAAGCAGCTTCAGACGGCAGATTTTGGACATTTATTTCCTGATATTTGGACAAATCACCTCTGACTGGCTAACAGCAACGCGACCCAACTACCGACTGTTTGTGCTGCAAACGTGGATGTTTTATCTTCACAAATAACACAAGTCTGAGGAGTTCTGCTGCGTGGTGGAGTTGCTAATGCTAACAGTTAGCTTCTACTAGCAGAGATATTCCTTGCCGTTTCCTGGACGCTAAAAACAACAACAGTTTTACCTGCTGTGAGTCAAGATGGGTGAGTCCATGTTAAGTGACAGCGTGACATAGATCTGTCAGGCTTTTCAAATCCTAGAGTTTCGCCAATTATTTTCTATCAGCAGCTAATTCAGGATAGGTGTAGGAGACCATTTTCATGTTCAGCCTGCATGAAAAACTCAGTGACCAACGATAATCAGAATTCATGATTTTAGTAGTAGAATTGATGAAATCATGGCGATACGACACACATCACGATACCGGGGAGACGATACAATATATCACGATATATTGCAATACATTCAGTCAAACAATATTAGTGACTTTCAGGACTGAATTTATTGTAGGAAAATTCAATAAACAGTCCAAACTGTATTTAACATGTTTTAACATGTGGTATTTGAACCATAACAGAGGGATTTACATTTCTGTGGTGGAAACAAAACCCTGCTCATTGCTGCCCACTAGTGGTCAGTGTTTGAATTGAACCAAAAGAAAAGAATATACACAAATGTTTGCATGTAAATTCTTCCAAAATTAGATACACAGCTTTTGAATATCTATATATCACTGTAAAAAATCACAATATACTGCCATATCAATATTTTCTTACATCCCTACTTTTTAGCGTTCTACAGTTTTAAACCTCAAGCACATTAGTAGCTAACAATAAGAACAACAAAGGTACCGTTTTCTCCAGAGGGTTCCTTTAAGCCCTGGAACTCCACAGCAGTGTGCACCTCAACCCCAAGAAGAAGACACACTTTCAGCAGTATTAACTGCAGCTGACGAATGCCTGAAATCAAAGACGCCAGAGCCAAAATTATTGAAGCTAATTTTTCTTATTTATGCATCAGACATGACTGAACATTAAAATCCTGGCATTCACTTAAATACTGCATGTGGCTTGTTAATATACCAGGAAACTGGTTGTGCAATTTTTTCTTTTGTGCTGCAATTTGGGTCCAATGCCTCTATTAACACTATGAACACAAATAAAAACATTTTCACTAATTAAAGTCAAATTAGATTTACCATGATTTTATTTAGAAAAGGGTGAAACAGCCAATGAGATGAAGACTTCTAGGTCTTCTGTACCCATCTCCTCGCTTTCTATCCATATGGAAACCCTCTAAATCTTGCCAAGACCAACGTGCATGACTAGCATTAGTCTGGTTAAAGCAGAAACCTAGAGTGGAACATCAACTCGTTGGATGATCCCAATTAAATTTCAGTTTCTTCCCCTTTTGTTTAACAAGGTCCCAGGCTGTCATGGCTACCATCCACATTACAGATGGACAACTAGGGCTGTCGCGGTTGAGGAATTCCTCCTGCGGTGATTCAGGGTGGCTTAATATTGCGGTGTGCGATATTATTGCAGCCCTTTTTATTGCAGTACTATCTGAACATGTTTACACATTTAAAAAAGGTTAAAAATTGCCGTGCCTTCTTTAATAACACTTTACTGAATGCAGATCAAAGGGCAGTAACAACACTGATTGCAGTAACGTTTGTTTCTCCGACAGTCAGAGTCCGACTGAACTTAAAATCAACAAAATTCAGGAGGTTAAACTTTTAAATGCAAATTTGGCTGCAGCATCTAACAAATAAGAAACAAGTCCCCATTTTGTTTAGTTGTTTAAAATCAAGCATAAAAAATTACATGTACCGGGTGCGCGCGCCGGGGGGCGGGCGCACTATCATTTCAATTTCACACACACGAATGACGGTGCTTTATAGCTCGGTCACGTCCTTGTTACCCACAAGCAAAACCAGCATGTTAACCATATACGGTTTGAGAGAGGATCTGAGAGGGGTGGCAACATTTCCAGCAACACTGAAAACCCTCTCGGATGGTGCGCTCGTTGCACTAACGCACACGTACTTGCGTGCGACTCTGAGGAGCAAAGGGAATCTCTCCCGGTTGTTGCTCCACCATGTCGGGGGGGTTTCTTTAGGGTGGGTGCATTCCTCCTGCAGGTAGCGAGTGAGCTCCAGCTCGGCTCAAACTCTCTTCAGGACGGTTGCAGAAGCAGTGCTTGTCCGGGACTTCAGCAGGTCTCCGAGCGTTTATTATTATTATTTTTGCCGCTGGTGGCAGCTCTGTCTCGGCCAAGGACTCTGGCTGCGCAGCAGCTGACGTACTAAAAACCAAAGTGCTCCCAAAGGAGCGAAGTAACGTTTCGTTTTGATACCAGTGCAGCCATCCTTCTCAACATGCATCATTGAGTTGAACCAAGTTCAGTAATCGCGGTGGCCCATGATGCAGCGCGGTGGGTTTCTTCATATTGCAATATTTCATTTTTGCGGTTACCGCGACAGCCCTATGGACAACACCTAGATCACTCTACAAAGTGCAGATATGAATTACACTACAATCTATATTTAGAGTCACAAGATCACAAGAATGAGCAGACATCAGATGCACCACAACAAAACAGCAGTAGAGCTGTGAGCATGAAACATTTTAATTATGCTTCCATTGAGGTGTGGGTGAAATAAGAATATTTAAAAACTATTGATGATTGGATGTGTTGCCCACCTGTTATTTCCGAGTACTAGTATTTCAATGTAAAAATATTCTTAGACAAAATTTTAATCAATAATTGATCATATAATTGTGATAATTTCACTGTAAAACAACCGTAAAAGACACTCACTGATGTGATCTAGAGAGCCAGAGCAGAATTTTCCATAGAACATTTTGGCTCCGAGCTCCCGGAGGTCATAGATGGTGAATGGCCAAAGGTGGAGAACGTTGTTCCTGCTGAACTTCTCTCTCTTCTCCAGAACCACCACCTGAGCCCCTAACAGGGCCAGCTCGATGGCCGTTCTCAGCCCACATGGTCCAGCACCCAGAACCAGACACTGGCAGAGAGGACAGAGATAATCAGCAGATGGGAGCAAGCAACAAAAAAGTCATCAGGAAAAAAACAAAAATGATTTAACACTAATGCACACACGCACACAGGGCCAGGATAGACGACAGCCAAAAAAATCATGGAAAAACAAGAATAAGTCAAATAAAGAATTAAATAAACAATTTTTTAACTACATAAGATGAATCTCAGACAGCCTGTACCTTGTTGTTGATACAAGCTGTTCCTTGCTGATAAAGTTCTTGAGATGCTCTCTTGTCCAACTTGGCCCACAATGCTTTGGCCTTCCAGAAGTTCAGCCGTTCCTTTATCGTGGAGTAGAGGCTCCTGGAATTCTTGGGATCGACGTGCAGTTTTCTACACAGCTCAGCAAAGTGCTGCTTCACATCCTGGCAGGTTTGGGCTTGGACAAAGAGCTCAAAGACAGCATGTGAAGGATTCACAGGGCTCTGTATCTCCATAGCGGGCGTCAAAGGTCCAGGTCCATGTAAGCGCTGAGTTTTGTTGTTAAGCTGTGAAAAAGGAAGTTATAACACGGCATTAACACCTCCCAACAGGAAACCATTTAACTGTGACAAAACATTTCCTGTACATGATCAGAGAGGAGCAAAGTTCTGTCGTTGTTTGGACTTCTAAAGGTGATCCAGGCTTTATGGCTATCCTCCTACTGTTTTACAGAAGGTCCCTCCACACGCTCTTCCAATTACAGTCCAAACGTTTAAATGGCGAGTTCCTCAGCAGTCTGAGTCATCTCCGACTTCCCCTTAGTGGTTTCTTTGATCGACCCTCTCTCTCTTTTACAACTACTTTACAAAAGACTAACCAGACCTCATGTGTCATGCTCACAGACTTCCTGAGGATGAATCAGCTTCAGCAGATTTTATCTCAGAAGGTTTTCCACATGTTGGGGCTGATTCACCTGACTGAACAAAATCCTCAGAGAACACAAACTCTTTTGGGGTATATCCTCAGAACATCATTTAGTTTTCTGCAAATGAATCAATGTTAATACCAGGGGCGGCGTTAGGCCCGGCTACTTGGGCTGAAGCCCCGGATGTTTCATGATAAGCCCCGGATCTAAATCGCGGAAGTAACATGCAGTACCAACGTCCAACAGAGAGGGAGCAGCTGGCAGTAGTTTGTATACAGCCTGCTGAGCCTCCACCACTGAAGAAGAAGCCCTTCAGCAGCCGGCTTCTTCTACACTCTCTGCCTGAAACGCATGAGTGAAGATGGACATAAGGACGTTTTTTAGACCAAAAGTACCGCAACAGAACCCCAGCTTTGATGAGACTGGTGCTGACTCAGGTTTGTGAGTCTTATCTGAAAATATTTGTTGTGCTGCTGGTTTGCCTAAAGTTAGCTTACTATCAGGTAAAGTTGTTGGAGAAAGAACAGGAATATTTACTATCATCTCACACTAAACACTAACAGGAACAATACTCTGCCCTGAATATGCTGAATATGTAGCTTCAGATTAAACATTATGTGGTACAAGACATATACTGTATATATATGATGTTGACTAGTGCGTGTGCGCGTGTGTGTATGTGTGTGTATGTGTGTGTTAAGCCCCGGATCTTCTTCAGTCCTAAATCCGCCCCTGGTTAATACCAGAATTCAGTAATGCTGTGGTGTCTTAAACCTGTTAAACTAATCATAATCACTCTGACGTGTCTATATCAACAAACCTTTGAATAAAAATATGGAACTTTCTTCTGTCTCCTAAATCATTCTTATAAGTCTATAGATTCAGCAATTTTTTTCACTCCAAGCAAGAAAAAGTGATTAATTTTCAGAAACTCTCATTTTAAAACATTTGCAGTGGCCTCTAGTAGGAATAACTGCTTTATAAGTCGTGCTCTGGGGGGGTGGGTACGACAGCGCCAGTGCACCCGTTTCAGCACAGAGAATTAAGCCAGAGGAGAAAGTAGCTTCAGGCGACAGGATCTGGACTCTCGCCTCTGATTGGCCAACACCAATGTGACTCTGCAAAATTGATGTTTTACCCCCACAAATAACAATCCTGAAGGAGTTCTGCCACGGCACTTAAAGCGCCTATGTGCGGACCGGCGTTTAGCCGCTGTGCTAACAGTTTCCCCGCCTCTAAAACGTGCTCACATAAGGGTCAGAGTTTGCTCAAAGTTTTGCACATTTCTCTGTCGTGTTTCTTTTTAAATCACGAAGGTAGCCCAGAGAATGACTTACGCATTTTTCAGACCCCGTATCGTTCAAAGGGAAGCTTTACAAATGAGGGCCCTGAACCTTTGAGATGTAGAGGAACGAGAGATTGACATGGTGAATGCAACTGTGATGCTGTCATGTCAGTAGGGCTCCGAACCTCTAAGGGATGATTCCAATACTTTGGTAAATCTACGACACGAGGAACTAAGCCGGTTCTGAAGGCAGAACACAGTCCTAGCAGGGTGCACCTGATGAAGGGGCTGGTGAGTAGGGATGCACCGATGGATCGGCATTTGATCGTAATCGGCCGATAGCGCCCCTATCGGTTTTGATCGGAGTTTTCAAAATGGATCAAAGCAGACCGATCAGGTAGGGTTGTCACGGTAACCAGTGTAGCGGTAAACCCCAGTAAAAAAAAAAAACAAGTTGACAATAATAATAATAACCGTCTTGTTTTTTAAAAAAAAACTATTATCTCGGTGGATTACCGTGGCTGCGGTGTAGGCGCGGTGACCCTTACCAGCCACCGTATCATCTGCTGAAGTTGCCGGTGGCACATGCGCACTTTGTTGTTTACAACCAAAACTTTCTTGAAGCTAAAGCTGAAATAATGGCCAAAGGAAGAGACGGCAGCGCTCAGGAGGACATTTTTTATCCCTCAAAGAAGACAAAGTGGGAAGTACGGGCATCTTTTGGATATTTGAAGAATGCCGAGGGACAGTTTATAGAAGACGGCTATCCTGTTTGCAGCACGTGCAGAAAAAGTGTCTGTGAAAGGCAGCAACGCTTCAAATCTCATGACACATCTGCGTGACCATCACCCACAACTCTACAGTCAACGCAAGGCAAGCTAACGTTAGCGCTTTAGCTAAAATGCGTGATCCGAGGATTTGGGTTGAGGGAGAATGCAACGAGTCGCTATATAAAGCAGCCGCAGCGCCGCTACCTGCATATAAACCGTGTCACGGACACCGCCATGTTGAAATGACGCTATGCATTACGGGGCTCCCAGGGGCAGATAAGAGTTGGTCTCTCTCCGAGAATAATTATGAATTTAACAACGATTACTGCCTGATGACATTTTCCCACATCTGCAAAGCTCACTGGAAGGACACAAACCGAGGACAATATTTTCCTGATATAGGGTTTATTACTCAAGTAAGGGTAAAAAAGTATCTGATTAGAAGGCTACTTGAGTACTGAGTATCATCTGATCTAATATTTTTAAAATGATGACATCAAACAGACATAAAATAAGAAGTTATGGGCAAATATTGGTATTTTAAAGACTAAAGGGAAAAAATGTAAACAAACAAACAACATAATTACAAAATAACACATTTTAGGCTAAATTTAGACACAAACTGAGGACAATATTTCCTGACATACAGGTTTTTTGTGTGAAAATGCAGCATGTTAAAAAAATACCACGATAATACCGAAAACCGTGGTAATTTTGGTCACAATAACCGTGAGGTTACATTTTCACACCGTGACAACCCTAATACAGACCATTTTAGATTAGGTTACATTTCCTTTATTCCCAGATTATGTAGTTTGTAGCACTCATTATAATGTTGTAGAAAATTTCTGGCCAATCCATGTGATCGGTATCAGTGATCGGTATCGGTGATCAGCATTCTTTGATATCGGTATCGGTGATCGGCAGCAAAAAACCTGATCGGTGCATCCCTACGAGGAATATGAAATTTGGCATTCAAGTCAGAGCTTTACATAAAAACTGTATTAATTCCTCAACGTTATGCATGAACAGTGAGAACTACCAAAGAAGCCAAGCAAGGCTTTGACCTTTGGCCAGAAAAGATAAATATTTCATATCAAGATGTCAGGTGAACGTCTCAACATGGAGAGATGGGCTGCAAACACAAAAAAGAAGTAGGGGTGGTCTGCGAACACAAGACAACCTGTCAAATCTAAAAATAACACATACCTCTTTCAGCTGACTCAAAAGTAGGCTGCTGTGTTTATACTCACCAGCCTTTTGTGTTTGAACAATCTTTAAAAAGGTATTAGCTGAAGAACACAAACCCACAGCTACAACACCTTCTGACACACAGCTAAATATAGTACGTGAGAGAAAAGTCTTCTGAAGTCATCGTCTCATCTGACTACTGCTGAGCAGGAAACAGGCTGGTTTTAGCTTGGAAGCATAAGACATAATCTAAAGGTAAACTGACCTTGCTTCACCCACAGCTGGTGGGTCATTGTAGAGGATCGGCCCACCCAATCACAGACGTGGCTCTGGTCCTTGTGTCAGGATGTTGGCAGAGAGAGGAAGACAGAAACAGGAAAATGAGTGAGAGAAATAAATCCATGCCACTTGCTGCACTTAGCAGGATCCAACAACAACAAATACCCTTGAGGCATTTAAAGGCGTGCTTTTAAACAAGTGGAGCTCACAGTGATGGGAAGCTAGAGGAATGTTTGGCATTTGGAGAGCTGGTCTAGTCTCAACATGTGTTTACGCGCTGACCGGCAGATCCAGACGATTTAAAAGACATATTTACATTTAAAAAAGTGGAGCACAAACGATATCACAGCGGTCACAAAAAAAAACCCACAGGAAATGTCACTAAACATTTTTAAAATTAAATAAGTTTTACCCCAACAGACGCGCGACACAGCCTTCTGAACCGAGCCGGACTTCGTCCCGGAGCTACGGGGTCAGGAGTGGTTCTGGCAGCTTTCCGTTCAGCTCTTTTCCGGGTCCCGTGTGTGTGTTTGTCCTCCAGGTAAAGAGAGCGACGGCGTACCTCAGCTCGTGCCCGACCTGACTGCACAAACAGAAACTCTCTTCCGGGACATTCGCTTCTGTTTCAGTGCGCGCGCGTGAACCTGCGCACCTGGGCGCGTGACAAGCAGACTCAATTGACTGTCGGGAGCAGGTAAGGATGAACTGCTCCAAGTGCTAATTTTACTACTATTGCGGGTTTTATTTAATACTCTACGTGTGCTGCCGCTGTTTCCCTGTTGTTTGTCAGGACTCCTTTATGATTTGTTGCTTTTCTGTTTTAAAGGTTTTTATTTTTTATTTATTTATTTTTTAAAGAACTTTTATTGAACATTTGCAAAACGAACAAAAGCGACTACATTTCAAAATTTGTTAGCAGAATGACATTACAGAGTAGCTCCGAAGTCAGTGTTCATCTCAACTTGCATTTTGTAGATACAATTCAACTTGGTTTAGTAAGAAGACAATAAAAAAAAGATAAATAAATAAATAAAACAATAAATCAAAACAAAAATAGAACATGAAAGGATACAAGTAAGACAGCATTAAAACTCAAATTATATGTGTATATAAATAAAAATTTTACAAGAGGGAAGTTAAAGAGCAAACAAGGTGTATATCATCCAAAATGCGGTTAGAGATTAGTGTTCATAATGAAATTATAAAGCTTTATAGCATTGGGGGTTGACATTTTACCTAAGGATCTCGACAGCAGTTTAATTTCATTTTTGAGATTATTCCACGTAGGTGGATTTTTGAGATATCGGCATTTGTGTATGAAAAATGTTGTTATGATTATGAGATTATTAATTAGAAATGCATTATTTTTATCTTTTAGTATAATGCCAAATATGATATCTTCAACTGTGAAATTGTTTATATAAATTTGATTGGAGTTCAGCCAATCCTGGAGTGAATTCCACATCATTAAAGTTTGATCACATTCATAGAAAAGATGTTTGGTCGATTCATCGTTTTGTTTGCATAAGTAACATTTTTCCACATTGAACTTAAATCTAGTTTGTATAAAATGGTTAGATGGGTAAATATCATTCAAGGTTTTAAAATGGACTTCTTTATACTTTGGGGGTAAAGAGAATTTTAGATAGTTGGTTCTCAAAATTTTAATTTCTTCTTTTGAAAAGTTGTGTAGTAACGAGAATCGGAGTATTGTGTTCGGATAAGAGGTTTTGTTTAATTTGTTTCTCAGGAAAATATTATTACATTTTTTATTGAAAATTTCTATCCCATCAACTGCTAATATTTTGAGTCTAGGGTTAAATATATAACCAATAGAAGCTTTAACTAGATGAACCAGAGCACTTGGGATATTTTTATCTTTTCTGTTTTAAAGGTTAGGCCTACTACTGCACTTTGGTCCGCCATGCTGAGCGGGAAAGTGCCTCAGAAATAAAATTCACTTGACGTATTCAACCTCCAGAACAGCCTGGTTGGGGGTGACTGACAAGTCGGACCTTGGATGTGTAGGCAGGAAGGGTGTGTCCTATCCTGATCAGGATTCACTTTTTTCACACACCACATCTCTAAAACACTAAAAGGGAGAAACCTTCATGAAGATGTGTTGTTTCTGAGATACCACACGGTTCTGAGGTGGGTAGAAAGCAGGCAGACAGCTTTATCCATCAGAACTTTATTACATGAGGGAGACAAGCATCCATTTGCAGTAGTGATGCACCGACATGAAATTTGTGGGCCGATACCAATATCCGATATTGAGATCACTGTTATGGCCGCTAACCGATATTTGCCGATATCGATATACTGATATTAATACTTCTAAAATCAGCAGATTTTGTATAGAATAAAAATTATTAAAGCTGTATTTACTTTATCATGTACACACATCACACACATTTACAGTTCTGAGATGATGTAAATCACTGTTCACATGACTAAACAATTACACATCACCCCCCTTACCCTCCGAAACAGGCAAACAAATGGAGACGAGATGGAAAAAATATCGGCTGTTAATATTGTCCCGGTTTTATTTATCGAATCAATACCGATATGTTAAAAAAATCCTAACATTGGCCGATACAGATATTGATGCCAATATATTGTCCATCCCTAATCTTCACCCTTCTCTCTGTAGATCTCAGTTTGTGATTTAATTAAAAATATGTTATTTTCTGCCCCCATTGCGATTTAATTAAATGTTTTCATTTATTGTTGTTATGCTTAAATCTGGAATATGTCAGTATTCCCTGTGCACCAATGCTGCCTTTTTAGATGGCATCATTAGTTGTGCTTCCATTACTGGAGCTCCAGGGATGTTCTTGGCATAGGGAAAAGGAGACAAGCTGGTTCCCAAAGTCAGAGACTCTCTTGGTCAGCTTGCTTCTCACACCAAACCTTCCGTCAGGAATCTTGGTGTGACCTTTGACCCAGCTCTCACCCTGGATTCTCATGTCAGTTCTCTTGTTCGCTCTTCCTTCTTCCATCTCAGGAACGTTGCTAAGCTGAGTCCCATTCTGTCCCACTCTGAACTTGAGACAGTTCTCCACACCTTCATCTCCTCACGCTTAGACTACTGTAACTCTCTTTTCACGTGTCTGAGCAGAACCTCCCTGAACCGTCTACAGGTGGTTCAGAACGCCTGTGCTCGGCTTCTGACCAAGTCCTCCAAACACACCCACATCACCCCGCTTCTCCTCCAGCTTCACTGGCTGCCAGTCAACTTCAGGGTTCATTTCAATATCCTGGTTCTGGTCTATAGGGCCTTACATGGACAAGCACCATCTTACATTGGTGATCTTCTTAGTCCCTACACCCCCAGCAGGTCCCTGAGGTCCAGTGATCAAAGCCTACTGGTTGTGCAGCACCAGGCTAAAGGTCAAAGGTGACAGATCATCTGCTGCTGTGGCCCCCAGACTCTGGACCTCTCTCCCCCTGAGCCTGAGATCAGTGGACTCAGTGGTCTCCTTTAAAAAGCAGCTGAAGACTCACTTGTTCAAGCTGGCTTTTGTATGACCTTCTTCACCTCTCTCTCTTTATTCTGCTCCCCCACCTATTCCACCTTCCTCAGGATCCACTGGTTTCCCTCTTTCCTGTTCACTCTCTTTCTTAACATTTTTTAATCACAGTTGTCTATTTATTGCTCATTTTAAATATATATTTAAACATTTTCTAAATGCTTTTATTTTTTGTTTTTGTGAAGCGCCTCGTGATTTTTATCTTGAGAGGCGCTATAGAAATGATATTTTCTTCTTCTTCTTCTACAGAAACACCCCGTTTGCTGAAAAATGATTCTTTGCACCAACTTATAAGAAAAAATTTAAATAAGGCTTTTAGTTTAAATGTATTTTTGAGCTCTGTGTTGGTAAAATAAGTTCCAAAGAGGCATCTCTTTATAAAGAGTCACATCTGCTCAGCAGCTGGCTGTTCGAACACAGTTGTTTAGATCGTGAGCTCTGTGTCACTAAACCTCGTATTACACTCCTCCAGTTTACCTTTTTGTTTTGTCAAAAGTTTAAAAAGTCACAGTTAGCTGTACGGTGGCTGCAGCAATGAACCAGTTTGCTTATCTGTAGCGTGAAAGTCAAACTGAAACCAAGATAAAAGTCTCGAGAAGAGGAAATAACATTCCTCAGTTAAACCAGACACAATGACACAACATTCAGAAAAATGTGAACAGTCGGGAAATGGAAGACATTAACTATCAAAGTACTAAACGTTTAAAGGTATAGGCGTTTACGGATGTTCAGCGTAGCTCTGAGTTCACAGGTGAAGTTGTATAAAAACTAAAACTAAATTCTAATCAATCATCAGTTTAAAGCCGTTTTGTCCTATTAGTGTTAATTAGCATCTTCAATGGCTTGAAAAATGGTAAAGAAACACATCTACCAACTACTTTTTGAAACTTTCAGTCAAACCCTGTCTCGTTGTTGATGAGGCATTTTGCTCTGAGACAACAACAACAACACAGGAATGTTTACCTTTATTTGTCTCTCCACTTTTCGGTGTAAAATAGAGCCCTTCTCGGGTTGGGGGACAGAGTCTTTGTTGATCACTTTAGTCAGCACACAGTATTTTGATACCCCACTAATCTGGGTTATTTGTCATCGATTGGCTGGATCAGGTACCTCACAGGGAGAAGAAACTGATATTATAGATGTTGGTTCCCTTTGATTAGCATATGTAAATCTGAAAGTGCCCTGCAAGTCGTTCTCTGGGGAAGAAAGGCTCAGATTATTCTGTTTGAGGACGTAGAAGCCAGAGAAAGTGGCTGAAAGATTTGGAATCGTATTTTCTAATATTTGAACATTTTGCGTTTGGCTATCAACAACACATCTCCACAAATAACACAAGCCTGGGATAGTTATGCTGTGTGGTGGAGTTGCTAATGCTAACAGTTAGCCAGTTCTCTGCTGTTTCCTGGACGCTAAACCAACAGCAGCCTTCCCCGTCGTGAGTCAAGATGGGCGAGTCATTAACGTTAAGTGACAGTGCGACGTAGATCTGTCAGGCTTTTCTAATCCTACAGTTTCACCGTCTGTTCTCTATCAGAAGCTAATGCAGGAGATAGGTGTAGGAGACTATTTTCATGTTCAGCCTGCATGAAAATAAGAGCGACTGATTATTTTCTAAAATAATATTTGAGAAATGGTTGGTCAATGAGCCTGGTCTTTAAACATCAGTTAAAACAACTTATCAAGAAATACTGAAACTGACATATTTGAAGCCTGAAAGGTTTATTAATGTGTTCTAAAAAAACTACATTCAATAAAAGTGTTTAGAAACCGTTATGTGTTCCCCATAGCGATGACCTCCAATCAAGCATAGTGCTATAACTTTTGATTTCAAACATGAGAGCAAACTGCTGGGCAATATGGATATTTTATTCAAATGTACTTTTTCTGGTTCATAACATCATTCAGCAAAGTTTAACAGTGTGAAAATATAGGCTGTACATGGTAGCAAAATGTTTATGAATACATGAGAATATTAGAAATTTCAAAGCATCTTCGAAGTCAAGATGGAGACCATTACCTCAAAGTGTTAAGCGTTGAGTCAGGGTGCAACCTTTTGGCCATTTCAGAGACTGCAGTATGCCGCATCTGCAGCAAGTCTTCATCTATTTGGTCTTAAATCTCAGAAATTAATAACTAAATTAATTTTCAGCCTTTAGTCTAGTCCCATCAATCCATCCACTTATCCAGGGTTGGGTTGTGGGGGCAGTTGCCCAAACAAAGAGGGCCAGCTCTGACACTGGTCATATACTGGGACCTAACAGCCCGTACCAAGAGGTCTGGTATCCATACTCCAGAAGTACCCCCCCCCCCACACACACACACACACACATACATACACAGAGCCCCCCCAAGGGATGTGGTTGTACGCCTTTTCCAAATCCACAAAAACATGTAGATTGATTGGGCACACTCTGCAGGACCCCCCTGATGGTATAGAGCTGGTCCAGCGTTCCACGGCCAGGCCGAAAACCACATTGCTCCTCCTGAATCTAAGGTTCGACAATCCGACTCACCCTCCTCTCCAAAATCCCTGAACAGACTTCACCAGAGAGGCTCAGGAGTATGACCCCACCATATATGAAGGACAGTTCTCCTTTTCTAATAAGAGGTGAGACCACCACCTCAGTCTGCCAATCCAGTGGAACTTCCCACGTGATACTGCAGAGCCGCACCAACCAAAACAGCCCTACAACATCCAGAGCCTTGAGGAACTCCGGGCAGATCTTATCTGGGGCCTTGCCTCCGTGGAGCTTTATGACCACCTCAGTGACCTCAGCACCAGAGATTGGACAGCCCAACCCAAAGTCTCCAGACTCTGCTCCCTCATTGGAAGACATGACAGTGGGATTGAGGAGGTGTTTGAAGTACTCTGCCCAAAAGTCTTTATCTCTGTAGTCTTCCATCTCAACCAGTGTTCAGAACCTAATCACCAACTCGACTTTCAGCCTCTAGTTCAGCCCTCTAAGAAAAATCAGCATTTAAGTAGCTGCTGTTCTAATTGTTTAACGAACGTGCAGCTTCTCAGTGCATGCAGACACGCGTACGTGAGATAAGAATGTACCTTTCAGCGACAGAAATCTACTCACATAAAAACATACGTTACACCAAAAGTAAAAGTATAAATTCATTCACAGACATCAGTTAGATGTTTATTTTGCTTATAAAGGTACCAGGAACAAAGAAGAAAGGGTTCACTTGAAGGGAATAAATAAGGAAGTTGGTATATACAAAATATAACAAATACATTTACCATAAAGTTAAAAAATGCCGCACACGCTCACAGCGTGAGCCAAATGCTTTAGTGTCTAAGAGGAACATCGCAGCATCTCCAGTGTAGGATTGAGCTAAATGGTGCAACCATTAAACACCCATCAGTGTTGATGAAGGGAAACGAACCCAAAAAGAAAGCGGGTTTGATTTTTATCCGAATGTTCGGTTTTAAACATTTCTAAATGATCCAGCTGCAGGTGGAGGATCTCCACACAGTAGATTATCCTTTCGGAAGACCAACACAGCATACTTTTATTTCTGGTTCATTTTCAGAACAGTATCAAAATACATTTTGACATGATGGAAAAAAGTAGAAGAGATATTTTTCGTTGGCACAAAAAGTCGTACTCTCATCCTGAGTAGATCTTACAATTTAAGGAAGGTCGTCGGTCGTACGCTGGCAGCTCTTCCCTCGCGTGAGACTAGCTCGAAACAAGAGGCAGCTTCTCGTAAAAAATCACCGATAAACTGGATCCCAAAGAAAACTGAGTGAAAATAGATATCAGTGTTTATCAGCAGGACAATGCTTCCCACGAAGGGCCGAGGCTCCTCTGGTATTCGTAAGGGTCTCCTGCTTACTACAGCTGGAGATGTTAAAATAGAAGATGTGTCAGGTAGAAGTCATTTAAGAATGCCCAGCCTGGCTGTGACTCACCTCTCTGGTGCTGGTTTCACCCAGAAAGGTAAATATATCACAAAACAAAATCGGAAAACAAAAGTTTGTTTAGTTTTTTCACAATGTGCCTGGTCACAGGATTTCTCCAGGCTGGTACTGAGGCTCTACACAGGTGAAGTAATCCTCCAAAAAGCACTGCAGGTATTCAAAGGTGGGCCTCTCTTCAGGGTCCTTCCTCCAGCAGGTCAGCATCAGATCATGGAGTGATTCGGGACAATCTGCAGGACACGGCATCCTGTAACCTCGCTCCACCTGGTCCATCACCTCCCGGTTCACCATACCTGGGACAACGGAACAAATTAGCTACGTGGGTTTCTTTGATTTCAACGAGGCGTGAAAGGAAAAGCTCTACCTGGGTATGGCACTCTGCCTTTAGTGACCACTTCGGTCAGCAGGACACCAAACGACCACACGTCAGATTTTATGGTGAAGCAGCCAAAGAGTGCAGCTTCAGGAGCTGTCCACTTGATGGGAAACTTGGCGCCTGAAGGAACACAGTTTGATTAGCATGTTAGTTTAAAGTAAATTACCCACAGAAGACTGCTTTAGCTTTTAAACATTGATAATTGACTAATGGTAGTTCTTTACATTCATATAATAATGACAATAGTCAGTAAAATATAATTACATCATTCAGGGAAACAAAACTCATTTTGGTAACGCTTCCTTTTACAGTCTCCTAATTACTAAGTACTTACATAGTAATTACATAGTAAGTTACGTGTATTATTGTGTAATCAAAGTGTATAATTGTAACAAAGTGTAAGTATTGTGTAAAGCAGTATTTATTGGGAATGCTTAATAAGAATAAAAACCAGAACTGAACCTGTGTTACATGGTAATAACTGTTTAAGAACTCAGAAACAATAATACACTTTAACTTACTATGTAATTACCATGTAAGTACTTAGTAATTAAGGGACTGTAAAAGGAAGTGTTACCCTAATTTTAATGTATACCCACAGATAAACAGACCAGTTTGTAAATAGTGATAAGATTTGCTCTTTCTTCAGAATATAGAAGATCAGATTCGATAGATGAGGACTTAAATAGCTTTGTTAGAATAAGAGAAACTTAAGAAATCATTGAAAAACAGAAATCCCTTTGATTTAATTAAACCATGACTGGTTTTTAAATAAAAGATCCTTCGGGTGCTAGAATGAAACCTATTCTTATAATTTGAGTCGTTCTGCTGTAGAAGTATGTTGCAAAAATATGAAAGTAAACGGACAAAACTCAAAGACCAAGTTCACATGTTCACTCAACACATCTGCAGTGGTCTCTATAAACGAATGCCTTGTGAGTGCCTCTCTGTGGGGAAAAGCTCTAGTGCTCCTGTTCAGGAGGTAGAAGTTAGCCAGAGCAGAAGGTAACGGAACACGGTTGGATTTGGACTCCTGTTTCCTGATATCCAGACATCTTTCCTTTGGTTGGCTAAAGCCGGGCGTACACTGTGCGACTTTTTCACTTTTTTGAGCCGATTTTCCAGTCGTGCGAGAAGCCACGACATCGGGGCGAGTTTTGCGCCGAGCGGTCGTGTAGTGTACAGGGGGTTACGAGAGGCGATTAACACCACGTGACCAGCTGCCGATCAGCAGTCGTGAGGTCGCATGGACTTCTGGCGTGTTTAATAATTCGCTCGTCCCTCGTGAGGATATCGCACTGTTGAAGCGGCGCTGCGAGCAGCTGTGACCCAAAAAGTACCAGAACCGCTCACGGCGCATGCGTAATCCTGCATCAATGCTGCTCGCTCGCTATTTCCATAAAACACATGTTGTTCGTTTTTGTTCCTACACGTTTTTTTACTCACAAATATTGTCAAGAAAGCGTGTTTGTCGTGTTCATGTCAAATTAAACTGATCACAAAACACAGATTTACTTTCTTTATTTCGTTTTCCTCATCCAACCCCCATAAATCCCTGTGTGTCCTCCTGCAGCACTCCCGAAGGACAACAGGCAAAACAAGACAAAAAAGTCTGACGTGTTGAGTAAAAACTGCTATTTTTAGCATATTTTTAGGGCCGACGTGTTGCTACCAGACGTACAGTGTGAGCAGTCAGGTCGCATGCGAGAACTGGGTCGTGCAGTGTGAGCACATGACTCGTGAGATCTGCCCCGCGAGGAGGTCGTACAGTTTGAGCTGAAGCTGAGCGCTGCGAGTGAAAAAGTCGCCGGCTTAATGGCAACGTGACTCTACCACTGTCTCTGATTGTGCTGCAACACGGATGTTTGATCTCCACACAGTTCTGGAGGAGTTCTGCCGTGTGGCTAATGCTAACGGTTAGCTTCTAGCCGAGACGTTCTCTGCTCTCTGCTGGAGGGTTAACTAACAACAGCCTTCCCTGCCAAGAGCCAAGATGGGTGAGTCCATGAATACTAATTTTCAATGTGACGTACATCCGTCAGGCTTTTCTAATCCAAGCCTTTTCCTGTCCAGGGAAACAGGCGTGGAGGATTATTTTCATGTTCAGCAAAACTCGGAGAGCCCGATCATATATATATATATATATATATATTTATATATATATATATATATATATATATTTATATCTATATATATATATATCTATATATATATATATATATATATATATATATATATATATATATATATATTTTTTTTTTTTTTGTTCATTTCAGGCACAACAAAATACATATATAAAACATAAAGTGCACAAAAACAATTAAAAAAAACAATTAAAAAATAACGAGTAATATTTCTGTGAACTTGGTCTTTGTTACCATGGATGTAATTTGGGGGGGGGGGGAGGGGGGGGGGGACAGGGGGGACATGCCCCCCCCCCCCCCCCACACACACACACACACACTTTTTCCAAAGTCAAGTTTTGACCCCTGCACTTTTTACCATCCAAAAACAATATTATGCTATATTAAATTGACACTCTAGTACCAAGCGGAAAACAACCGTTTGTGTTGAAGCCTGTTTCCCATTAGAGCATACTGTAAAGATCCCCCCCCCCCTCCCCTTGTGTCCCCCCCACTTCTAAAGTGAAAATTACGTCCATGTTTGTTACTCACAAATGACTTTCTGCCTTATCCTCTTTTGGCAGCTGGTGATGGTAACAGTCCTGAGCTCTGCTTTCTTACCTTGCCTGGCTGTGTATTCGTTGTCCTCAATAAGGCGAGCCAGACCAAAATCAGCAACTTTGCAGATCAGATTGTCTCCCACAAGAACGTTGGCTGCTCGAAGGTCTCTGTGTACAAAGTTCATCTTTTCCACATAAGCCATGCCTGAAGCAATCTGGAAAATTGAATTATGTATATTTTAACCAACCCACCAAACAAAGAGAAGGAGAAAAGCTTCATCTTGATTGTAAAAGTAAATGATTTGTGCTAACCTGTGAGGCCATGTCCACCAGCTGAGGGAGGCGGAGCATCTTACCATGTGGTGCTTTCACAAAATCCAGCAAGCTGCCTGTTGGCAGAGACACGTGTGCAGGTTAGAACGAGTCCTATGAAGCTTGTAAAACAAATACAACTTTTAAAATGATAACAGTTGTGTATTTTTTTATTTGAATTAACGATTGAACGAATCCTCCTGTGCAGATAATGAATCCACGCTGACCTTGGCTCATGTACTCTGTGACAATGTAGATAGGCTCCTCAGACACCACAGCGTACAGCATGACCAGTTTTTCATGTCTGAGTTTCTTCATGACCTGAGCTTCCTGTAGGAAGGCTTCGGGGGACATGGTGCCGGGCTTCAGCGTCTTGATGGCCACCGGCGTCGTGCCGTTCCACATTCCTGGAAAAAGATAATCCACCATGAGACAACATTGTTTTTCAATCAGAACCAATGCACAGAATTTACTCCATATTTCTAATCATCATCAAGAACAGCTGGTGTGTGCCTTTTTTTTTTACAGATACTGAGACAAATGACATGTGTAAATAAAAATCTCTATATGTGAACAGTGAAAAAAGCTCTGGATTCTTGAGGAATGTGAGGAAACAGATGTCTCACCCATCCAAACCTCTCCAAAGTAGCCCTGCCCAAGCTTGACGTTGAGCTCTAGAGAATCTCTGGAGATCTCCCAGGCGTCCTTGGCCAAGCCTTTGGTCTGAGGGTCCGGTATCGGACAGATGTCTGTTAGAACATGACACAGTCCGTCGGCCTGTCCTGGGGAGAGAAGAACAGTGCATTCTTCTCTGGATGCAGGAAAATGACTGCAGCAACTGTTAATTAGTTATCACAGATCAGTTATTTGGGAAATGCCTATGAATAAAGTCTGCATTAAAACTAATTATTTTCTCTGAAGAAAATACAGGTGGTGTTAATAAATGCCCGGTGCTATATTTAAATATTTTTAATATTTTAATGTTTCAAAGTGCACAAACTTCAACCCACTTGAGTTTTCATGTACAGATTAACAACAGCACCACTTTTAGACGTTAGTCACTGGAATCATTACATTTTAGACAGAGTAACTTAGAATTATACCAGAGTACTACCAAAGTAACTTCCCCCAAAGTGCTGATGATAACATAAGTGTGAATCTCTTGATTTGTAGCTTCAGCATAAACTCACTACGGTAGTGGGCCACCAGCTGCTGCAGGGTGTCAAACGGCGTGCGAGATGTGATGTAGAAGCCTCCGTTGTCCAGGTTCCTGATCTTGTAGTGTTTGACGTTCAGCCCTCTGGTGCTGTCGTGGTCCAACAGAGACAGACAGTAGGCACCTGGAAGGAGGAACAGGGAGGCATAAACATGGAAACAAAATATATAGATGTATATCTTCTTCTTCTTTTCCCAGTACTCGTTTCTCCAGCAGGGGGCGCTGTAAGTTATGTTTGTGATCAACTCCTGCATGCCTCAAGTTGGAAGAAGCTGATGTGGTCTGTGGCTTTATGATCCTCAGTTTTAGCTCCACACTGACCTAATTCTGTGTTTTCTCCCCTTTCTCCACTGCTACCTTTTATAAATCCATACCTCCCGCCACCCAGGTGGCTGGAGCCAACCAGAAGGGTCCATTCATTATTGCCCTTGGAAACGACTAGAATAGGGTTTATTGATGAAAAACTGTGAAGACCTAAAAACTTCATTTAATCTAAGTCAGCGAAGTTAAAATGTAGTTTTGGTTTGGTTTTAGACATGTTTTCCTAGTTTCAACACAAAACCGTTCTAGGTGTTTGATCAAAAATTCTGCTTCATATCTTTGTTTATCTTTGCATGACATCACATATGATTAAGTTGTTGATTGGGCCCCGTTCCACGTACTTCTCTTTGACGGAACACAGTGTTTATCCTCACAGTGAGGTCATATTTCAGCAAGATGGGTCAAAAACGTCACACACGCTGGAAGTTGTGGTTCCTGTGTTCATAACACAGAATGAGTGGCGCCACAAAGTTTGGGCAGGATTCCAGAGGGTTTGTGAGTCCACAGAGTCCATCCATCCATCCATCCATCCTCTTCAGCTCATCTTACCCAGCAACCTGGGCCAGCTCTTCCGGGTGAATCTCAAAGCTTTCCCTGGCCAGATGAGAGACATTTATGGGCCATTCCCATCTGTACCGGGTCGGCCCGGGCCGGGTAGCGTAGGTTGTTTACATATCTGGGTGGCCTGGTATTTTTCCGGGCCAACCAAGGCTCATTCTCAGCCCTCTTCTCGAGGGGGTCTGCTTCAGGCCGACCAGGGCCAACACACCCACTGCTGACAGCAAATCCACACCTTCCATTAGAGCAAGCCTCTGATTGGTGGGTAGAATCAGCCCACATGGGCTTAAGGCGAGGATGTGTGGAATCAACCGGGCCAGGCTGGGGCCGACTGGGGCTACCCGGCCCGGGCCGACCCGGTACAGATGGGAATGGCCCAAAAGTCCCTCCAGCGTGTCCTGGGTCTGCCTTTAGGTCTCCTCCTGGTTGGGCGTGCCTGGAAAACATCACCAGGGAGGCATCCTAACCAGATGGCAAAGCCACCTCAACTGGTTCCTCTCAATTTGGAGGAGCAGCGAATCTACTCCGCACCCCTCCCGGATGACCGAGCTCCTCACCCCATCTCTAAGGGAGAGCCCAGCCACTCTTCGGAGAAAACTCATTTTGGTCGCTTGTATCCGTGATCTCGTTCTTTTGATCACTACCCAGAGGGAAGGTGAGGGTAGGAATGTAGATCGCCAGCATCACTGCAGATGCAGCACCAATCCACCCATCAATCTCACGCTCCATTTTTCCCTCACTCGTGAACAAGACATCTCTACTTGTGGCAGGACCTCATCCCCGACCCGGAGAAAGCATCTTACCCTTTCCTGACTCAAGACCATGGTCTCGGATTTAGAGGAGCTGATTTTCATTCCAGCTGCTTCACACTCGGCTGGGAATCAGCTCCTTTAAATCAGAGTCCACAGAGTCCCTAAAGCGGGGGTCGGCAACCCGCGGCTCTGGAGCCGCATGCGGCTCTTCCATCCATCTGATGCGGCTCTCTGTGCTTGTAAAACAATGAATGGATATTTAAATAAAATGCTTTATATTTTACTGCATTAATTTTACATCTATATGCCAAATTCTAAATGTAAAGATTGTCTGCGTAAACCTGAACAGGTCCAACCCGGTCTTACTGTGAGACCGGGTTGACGGGTCACGCTTGTGCGTAATCATAGGCGCTTCCTGAGCTGACGAGGATGTGAGATTCTGGGATTCTCCTCAGACGGCTCCTGGATGTGTCGCCACATTGGAGACAGGAACAAGCACTATTCAGCCAAAGTTTCATAATCAGGGAACATTTTCTAAGTGACAAGTCTCGCTTCAGTCGGAGGAATCTTCCTGCATGCGCTCTTGTTCTGCGACGCGCTCCAAGCCCCTCTCCACATCTTCAGCTCGCTGTGCACCTTACGTACACGCTGACAGTGAGCTGCGCTGAGCAGTGTCCAGCTCAGATGTTCAGATGGGAATCTTTTCTTGAGCGATTTAGCTACATCTGCGATTTAATTGGAATAAAATGTCAGTGCGTCTGCATGTGTCGGGGTAATTCTTTCTATTCTTTCTCCGTCAAAATAAACGGCCAAACACGGGAACTGTCCGGTCAGCACAACACAAGCCCTGCTTTTAACTGTTCTGTTTTCTTGTGAAAATTGTTGCAAATAGATAAAATTAAACTTGATTAACACCAGAGCCAGGCGCACCGCGCCATTATCTCCGTCACTGTAAATGAGGGAAAAACAAAATGATCGGATCCTTTTCCGACCTTCCCCACCTACAAAGTTTAATTACAACAATCAAACGTGACAGAGCCTGGATTTGTATTCTGAACAGTCTAAACATGTTTTAAAAAGAAACGTATGACAAAAGTGGCACCTGCTCAGTAAAACCACCAACAGGGTGAAAAATATCAAAATATTGTAGGCAGAGACGGGCTACAACTTCTGGATCCACTTTATATATATCGTTTCATTGATTATCTTCTTATGAAAGATAACTTTGACGTACACGAGCGACCGGTACTGGCTGCTGTCACCTGTTGTGATTGGTTAAAGCAGCTCACTGCTGTCTGAGGGTAGGCCCCGCCCACAACGCATCGGCTGCTGTGGCTCCCAGTGTTTTCTTTACTGTGGGAAATGGGTTATAATGGCTCTTTGATGGGAACAGGTTGCCGACCCCTGCCCTAAAGGAAACGGGCAACGAAGGTTAAAGAGAAAAATCTAGCACGACTAGATTTGACGCAACAAAAATAGAAGTGGAGATAGGAATTTTTGTAAAATATTTAGAACATCTGAATGCTGAAGGAGGAGAAATGTCATTGTGTAAGGGGTTTTGAACTAGCTGACCGATCTCCAGAAAGAGACCCACAGATACCACATCCAGCCTTTCAATCACCTGATGAAGGCCACCGCAGGAGGATCACAGTGTGGAGCACAGCCAGCAGCAAGGTTCTCACTGTAAGACATTTCCTCTATCCTCTATTGTTTCTTTATAATGGGGCATGGCACAGAGTTCAAACTAAGCTTCATATCTGAACGTTTTATGAGTACACAAAACCTCCATGAGACTCTGCAAAGGCTCGTAGTGCACGCTGGTCCAAGGTGGTAACATTTCTAAACCAGTTGTTACCGTGGTAATCAACACGGCACGGTAAACATGTAGCTGGTTTCCGGATTCCTGAGCTTATTTACATTCTCAACTATTTCCTTGTGTTTTTGACTCACCCAGGTCTCCCTGCTCAAAAGCTAATTGAAGCCAGTATTTGTTTTACATTAACTCATTCACTGCCAATGACGACTAAAGTCGTCATTTGCATTTTTTTTTACTGTTTGAGCATCAGAACGAGCCCCCGCGCTGAGAGAACAAACATCTCAGCCCTGAAGCCGATCTTCATCTGCATACTTCACATGTCACATGATCAGGAAGCAACACATCCATGTGTTTGGAGATCGTTTTGGGCCGTTCCTGTAAAAAAAAGTGAGGCACGAACCGGAAAAGCGTCTGCCGATCACAATTCGACAACGGATTATGAAAGAACGGATAACGCTCAAAACACACTGATTCTTCCTGATGTAAGAGGTGAGTCTCCTCTTTGTTTTGGTTGTTTTGGCATCGACATCATGCTAGCGCGCAACGTTCTGTGACTCTTAAAAAAACAGTAAAAACGGTGAGAAACGCTGGCAGCGAAGGCCGTTAGTGATCAGGAAACGGCTGGCAGTGAATTAGTTAATTTGTGTATACTTCAACCTTATAGTTTTTAGAGGTTAAACCACATAGTCTTCACTCGACTGCTTAAAGTCTCCTTCCGGAGTATTTCTCTTATCCGATGGCACCATCTAGTGGCTGACAAGCATATCACACAGATAATTTCTCCTTTTTGTTTTTTTAAGATGGCGACTTCAGGTTTCTAGTTTATAAATCTGCTTCTGTAACCGACAAACAGCTCATAACACGTTGTTTTACAAATGTTATTCTCATGTCATGTTGTGTTTTCATATATTTATATTTTAAAGACTTTCTTGTTCGTGAAAAGTTCATCAACTCTGCATCAGCCGAGGTATTCCTTAAATCTGAAGCATCTGAGCGGTAGCCTAACGCTACTGGTTAGTCCTGGTCGGCGCTCAGTTTCCTATTGCACCGAGCTCTGCGGGGCAGGGGGCGTGTTTAGCAAAAAAATGAAATAAAACAAAATGATGTATTACTTAGAATACATCACAGGACATGATGAGATAATCACTTTCATGGATTTCTGAAAAATCATACATACTTTCTGAAAGGGGAAAACTCCAGAAAGATACTTTAATGCCTAAATAATCTTTTTACCATAACGTGTTGATATAATAAACTTGACGATTCCGATGCGAATCAGAAAACGTGACAAACAAAACCAAGCTAATAACAGAAACTACACCAAAGTCAAGCCACACATATAATTATGGTTCGGTATCTACTTGAACCATTTGTTGCAACAGTATGAAAGCAACACTGAACCTTATGGTCCGATCACAGTGTTTCTATTAGGATCAGGTCTGGACTGCATGATGCAGAACATTGATTCTTTTGTTTTTCAGCCTTTCCGATGTGGATCTGCTGCTGTGTTTGGATCATGGTTCTGTTTTAAGACTCAGGCCCTGTCCACACGTAGCCGGGGATCTGCCAAAACATAGATATTTTTCTACGTTTTGGCCTGTCATCCACACGAAAACGGAGTTTTTTAAAAACTCCGGCCAAAGTGAAGATCTGCGTTTTCTCCGTTTTGGGTGTCTGCGTGTGGACAGACAAAACCGGAGTTTTAAGGTCCGCAATGTCTCTTTCCGCGATAAAAAATGCTGACATCACGTGTGCGACCTGTGTTTACACTAGCCGACATCATGGAAGCCCTCAGAGCTGCGCTCTGTCACTACCCGATCCATCAATTGTCCAAGCGCTTTCTGCTTGTTTGTTGTTGCAAGCGGAATTACTGCTCCTTGCGGAAGACCACAGACGAAGGACGAGGTTAAGAACGGGGGAAGTACTGCCGCCTACAGGTCTGGCATGTCCTTAACAACGTATTTATCCGGGTACGTGTGGACAGTTTTTTTTTTTAAACGCGGTGGTGTGGATGCATGTTTTTGGAGGGGCGTTCATTCGTTTAAAAAAAACCCGGCTTCGTGTGGACTAGGCCTCAGTCGGACTCTAGAACACTTTAGTCTATAGAAACAGGGCCGGCCCCATGGGCTCCAACATCAGCCACAAAGGATAAGCATCAGGCTTCAATGATCAGACGCAGCTGAGGAATTACAACCAGCTACAGCCTATATCTATAACAACGTATCTCTCACTAGTGGTATTATTTAAATGCACTACCAGTATTACACCAATCTCAACCTCCCACTATAATGTTCATAACACACTTATAAAGTTTTATTTTTTGTTCTTTAAATCAGCTACTACTCTTTTTATTTCAGTCTATTAGCAAGTAGAGACATAGACTAATTTGTGATTGCACAATGTTTTAACTCTGGTACTGTCTCCATCAGCCGTTGTACTGATTTCTTCTTATGAGGTCTATTCACCTGCCATTGTTTCTGCAATAATGAATAGTCACGGATCAACAATTTAGTATTCTAGTCATGCTTTAAAGACATGGTTCACTGAAAAAACATTTTTTAATAATTATTTCTGATTAAAATGGATCACTCTGAGTTTTTATGCAGATTGAACATGAAAATAGTCTCCTACACCTATCTCCTGCATTAGCTTCTGATAGAAAATAGATGGTGAAACTTTAGGATTTGAAAATCCTGACAGATCTACGTCAAACTATCACTTAACATTCATGGACTCACCCATTTTGACTCACGATTTTTATTTGACGTTACTTGTGGAGATAAAAAACACAATGCTGCAGAACAAACGGACTGTTTGAATTATAATTATAATTATAGAAATTAAAGATTCTTAAACGATCCCAACTCTCTCTTTTCTTGTCTCTAAGTCAATACAAAGTGTTTGAATAAAACTCCCTGAAGTAAAAACAACCTCTTCTGATTATAAGGGCCCAGTTCATAGATTAATCTCTGGACATAATAAAAGTGTAAAGAATATACCAACTATATTACTCTACATTTAATGTATCAAGCACTGCCAATCAGAGATGTTTAAATATCAGGAAATAAGACTCCAAATCCTGTCATCTGAAGCTCAGCTCTTATCTGACAATCTTCTAGATCCTGAAGCAGGCGCACCAGGGCTTTTTGTACAGAGTACGACGTACCAGAGATCACTACAAATGTATTTATTAAATGAGTGAACCACACCTTTGATTTTCTTACTAGGTAGTGTGTGTCCAGATTCAGGCTCAAACGAGTTGTCCTTTGATAGCTTTTGTGTTGAAAGAGTGTGTGCTTCCTGCGCATCGATGCAAGCACAGGAAGCGTCTCATCAAAGATGGCAAATGTAAAAATTTCAGTTGACATTTCAAATTCTGGGGTTTTGTAAATAAAGGAAACCTAGTTATAAACATCTACACCCTACCTATAGTTACATCCACATGGTTGTGGTGTGTTTAGACAAGACAGCTCATCTTGAGGGGCGACGGTGGACACAGGAGTTAAGTGCTCGCCCCGTAATCGGAAGGTTGCAGGTTCGAGTCCCGCTCAGTCTGTCGCTGTCGTTGTGTCCTTGGGCAAGACACTTAACCCACGTTGCCTGCTGGTGGTGGTCGGAGGGACCAGTGGCGCCAGTGCTCGGCAGCCTCGCCTCTGTCAGTGCGCCCCAGGGCAGCTGTGGCTACATTGTAGCTCATCCCCACCAGTGTGTGAATGTGTGTGTGAATGGATGAATGACTGATTGTGTTGTAAAGCGCCTTGGGGGGTTCTAGGACTCTAGAAGGCGCTATATCAAATACAGGCCATTTACCATTTTACCATAAAGGTGGAGGTGTGACATACCAGAGGATGCCTTGGGTTCTCCATTGCCGTAACGAAGTTCCTTAACAATTTGACCTTTGGCTTTTCCTAACTCCTTTTATTAAATCTTCTAATAAATTCATCCAGCACTGGCTCTGTTGCATCGATTTAGCCTTGTTATTGTTGTTATAATAATAAAAAAAATAAATTAATAATAATAATAATGTGTCCTGAAACATAAAACCTAAACAGACAACCATTGCAAATGATTTAATAATTGCAAAGCTCTGTTCTAGCATGTAGTTGAGTTAATCAGTGAGACTGCTATAAAAAAGTACTCAAACAGGACCAAACACCTCACAACAGATTCTAGTTTAGTTCAGTACTCCTTTCTATCTGAGATCACATCGAATCGTTTAGCAAACCAACCTAAATGTCAGAATGAATGAAGGGCTGACACACAAACCTTTGGTGGACTCGCTGTCTCTCACCAGAAAAGTCCCCCTCTTGTTCCTCACATCCAGCAGCAGCCTTTCAGACAGACGGCGTGAGATCTTGCTGAAGTACCAACTGAGTGTTCGGAGTCAAAAAACAATCAACAAAACAATAGAACACAGGGGTAGAAATGAGTGAAAGGGTAGAGATGTATGTGGTCCAACAGAGCCAAAATGGCTCCAAAGCTTGGCCCAGAAGTTCCCCACAGATAATGTTTGGAAACAGATTATTTCGTTCTGATTTGACCTGACTGCAAACACTATTTTCAAAGTTGACATGATTGTGCTCATCTTCTGAGAGTCAACGATAACAGCACATACTGTATAGACTCTCAGCGTACTGGGGGTACTTTAAGCAGAGAGGCAGAGCACTGATTGTTGATCTGCTCCAGGTAGCTGTGTCCTGCACACGGCCACGGTAACAATCTCAAAGTGGGGCCACCCAAAAAAATCGAATTAACATGCAATTGATCATGTCCGCTCATATTCTCTGGTGCTTTCTGTCTTTTATTTGTGTCTGACGCGCTCTGCCTTAGCGGAGCTCATCACTCATGTGCCAGTGACTGCACCTCACTAGCGCGACTGCGCCAAGTGCACGCCGCTTTTGTTGCAGTCAGTGGATCCCTTTGATCTGCTTAGATAAAAAGTAACTGATGAGGTGAAAAAGAAGGAAGCCAGGCAGCAGTTTTTCTGGAGGACTGAAAAGAGATGCACGAAGATCAGAAACAGAAAGGACAGGAAAAAAGTCAAATAAAAAAACAAGATAACAAAACAAAGTGCTTGAAAAGGGAAAATTAGGTAGCTATATCCCACTACAACTGTTTAACTTTATGAAGCATTTATCATTTATACAATTGATATAATTCAGATCACCTTCAAAGCTCAGTCCCACACTCTGGGCCGTTTCAAGGCCTTTTGTGGGCCAAGTCAAAATAGACCCCTTATTAACCTCTTCTATGGGTTTTCATTTAGATTTATCCTCAATGTTTGGAATTATTAGGACAAAGAAACGTTAAACCCAAAACAATTTTGACATTTATGGCTGAAAATATGTAAAAACAGGCAAAATAAACAAAAGAGTAATAAGATGGACGACAGGGCTAACTGATTAACATGATGGAGGGAACCTGATGTCCTTACACGAGAGCCTAAAGCCTCAGGAGGCTGAAGGTAAAGAGCTAATTTCTATTAACTAATCAAACCACAAGCATGTCAAGCTATTTGTCAGCCAGCTGTATGCTTCTTGTAAAGTATTAATCATCTGTTTTACAGCTAGAAGCAAATGGAATATGCTCCAAAATGTTGAACTGCTCGTCTAAAAACTGATTTCAGGTTAATAAAAAAAACAAAAACGACTAAACAGGAAAGGTTTTAGAGTAAAAAATGAGTTTGTGAAACAGATAAAAATCGACAGAGCAAGAAGAAACTAAATGAAAGGTTTTACTCTTCTGCCTGGATGGAGTCGACTGGAGCCACATAATTGCAGGGGATGTAACCGCTTTCTCCGGTGGTCAGGGAGCGCGCCAGCCACCAATCCCCCTCCCTGCACAGAAGAAATGATAGCACAGCCTTACTGAGGCTCATCACACATTCAAAACACAAAAATGATTTTTTCACCAACATGGGAATCAAGGGACTGTTTATTTTTCTTTTTTTTTTTATTGACCCTTTGCACGTGACATCACGCTGTTCTCAGATACACCTCCTACGCCACGACGGGCTCCAAAGAAGCTAATTTCATGCATTAAAACTCCTGTGAAGCTATTCTAAAGCAAGACAGTTTGTAGCTTTACATGGCTTTTATTTGGTTGATTTCACTGTAAAATGGTAATAGCTTGCTGCACGGTTGGCTGCACTAACACACAAGGGCAACTTTTGTCACATAACTTTGATGGAGATCCAAGACGGTGTTGGACAGCAAACCTTTAACGTTTTCGTGACTCTGCAGCAAACAGAGTAAAATTAATGTTCACTTATTTCATGAGAAAGACGGGGACTGTGTTTATGTTATTCATTAATAATTTCAAGATAGCGAACACGCATTTCTGTCCATTTTAGTGAATTGCTGTAATATTATTCAAATGCAGGACTATGTAGTTATCTATCAGCACAAACGAGCTTCATCATTATGAGATATCCCGTACCTCGTTGTGAGAGCAGCACCTGGTACTGGTGGCCCAGCCAGCGGCAAGAAATCTGCTCAGGATGGAGACTTTTTTTAGGTTTTTAAATCATCTGCAGTGAAAGTTTAAATGTTGTTTATCACTTATAAATGGTGCGGGGTGAATTCTGACAATGTCGGCAACTTGATCAAATTTGTGAAACGAGTCAGCAGGGAGAATGTAAGAATTGGTTCGTGACAGTTTTTGTAGATATTGCTCTCTGTGAGACTCAACTAGGTGAACTGGATATGAACTTGCAGGCCTAACTGGCAAAAGCAACAATTTCAGTCACCACTTTTGCCCTCACTTCAATACTCTCGTAACTCACTGTTGACGTTCACCACGATGGACCCACCTGATCAGGTGACGTAGGTGCAAAGGGACAACTGGCTGTGAAAGCTCTTGGATCCTGGAGCAGCTTTATGAATATAAGCCTATGTTACTCTAAAGCAAGAAGAAAAACTATTTTCTGATTTTCAAACGTGTGGGTGGAACTACACTTCTACACAGTCTATATTTTATTAGGAAGGAGGCTGCTGGAGCTTTGCAGGACTACATTTATTAGGAGTTTACAAAAGAAATGAGGAATTGCACTCGTTGCCTCTACAAGACCTGTGAAGATATTAGCGCTACAAAGCATAGCATCCACTCTTCATCACTACAATGGCTCACACAGCAGATTTAATACAAAACACAACACATTCAAAAACAAGAGTAGGAAATCTCCACCAACCTGCAGCTCACCCTCCTCCTATAAAAATGGGTTTGGGATGCAGAATTGAAAAAAGAGGTAAGAAAGGGAATAGGTGTGTGTGTGTGTGTGTGTGTGGTGGGGGTGGGGGGTGGGTTAAAAACACAAAGAGCAAAGTAAGAGCAGAAAATAAAGCCAGTATCTCACTGAGTTGCAAAATGTGATAACAAATTGCAAAAGGGCATCACTAGGAAGCTTCCAGCATGACTTGACATTTACAAGGGTTGTCAGTTTCTGCTTAGAAGAAATAACAAATCAAGACACTTCAAGGTAAAACATTTGTATGACATCTGCAGAAAAGCAGCAGAAATGTGAACGTCCTAGGGAGGGAAGGACGGACAGCACAGGAGCGAACGTATGCACAGCAATTACATTTGTTATATATATATATATATATATATATATATATATATATATATATATATATATATAACAACTATTATGATATATATATATATATATAGTAATAGTTGTTATATATATATAACAGCTATTATGATATATATATATCATAATAGCTGTTATATATATATATATATATATATATATATATATATATATATATATATATATATATAAATAACAACTATTACTATATATATATATCATAATAGTTGTTATATATATATATATATATATATATATATATATATATATATATATATAACAACTATTATGATATATATATATATATATATATATATATATATATATATATATAACAACTATTATGATATATATATATATATATATATATATATATATATATATATATATATATATATATAACAACTATTATGATATATATATATATATATATATATATATATATATATCGTAATAGTTGTTATATATATATATATATATATATATATATCATAATAGTTGTTATATATATATATATATATATATCATAATAGTTGTTATATATATATATATAGATAGATAGATATAGATATATATAGATATAGCTATAGATAGATAGATAGATAGATAGATAGATAGATAGATAGATAGATAGATAGATAGATAGATATCATAATAGTCGTTTGAGAGCAATAATCTAGCCTTACAGGTGAAGCTTTACGGCGTCTGCTATAACAATCCCCCTGATATAGAAACTTTATTAGAACTGCATTTGGTTTCCTTTTAATTTCCAATAGATATGAACACATTTGTAATAGTTACACCAGCGGGAAAGGCACACAGAAAGATCAATGTTTTGATAACAGAGGCATTGTGCAAATCCCATTTAGCTGAGATCAAATAGGCCCAGCAGAAATCTGCCACTAGTCTGACACATAAGGCATGCTTCCATTACCAGAACTCCGGGGTAGTTCCTGGAATGGGGAACTTGACCAGGACATAGGATGTCCCAGTCCTCTCAGCTGTTGTGTCTCCATTCAAATGCAGCCCTTTCAGAACTTGCACAGACGTCAGCGTATCACAACCGCTTTGGCAGAGAGTGATGTCACTGATCAGCCCCAAAAAGCACCCAAAGTAACATTGAGTATGTTTACATGCAGCCAGTATCCGGGTTATGATCGGGTTAAGGTCGGCATTCGGGTTTCTGAGTTGATCAGAATAACCCGTTTACAAGCACGAGTTACCCCTAACTTGCATAACCCGATTTAAATGCGGACGTTGGGGCAGCGTCAGGACGTGTGGACTACGTCCAGACGCAATATGCGTCATTTCCGGTTCTTCTCGTTCCGGTATCCGTGAAAACAACAACATGTTTCCCAGTTTGGAAGAGATAGCGACCACGTTTGTTTGCGCTTTAGTTTCCTCAGTCACTCAAAGTGTGGTGCTGTGCCGCGACTCGCCATGTTGCTCCCAACTTGTTGTTTACTTCCGGTGTTCTGGCGCATACAAGACGTCTCGCTACTCAAAAGACCAAGATTCCTTGCGAACAGAGCATGCGCAGAACACACGCTTTGATGGGGATATCCCGGTATGCGTTTACACGACCAAACATTCGGGTTAGAAAAGGGTTACCCCAGGTGTAGTAACCGGGTTTTTAAAAACCCGGTTATGAGCATATCCGGGTTTTTGGCGGTGTTTACAAGGACCTGCGGAACCAGGTTATTGTGAATATTCGGGTTTTAAAAGGGTTACTGGCTGCATGTAAACGCATTGATAAATAACATTAAAAGCATTAATTGTATAGAAGTTTATTATAATTTAGAGGATTTAGAAGACAAGAGCAGCTCTGAGATTTGTGAGACAAGCCCCGTTAATTAAGTCTGTGAGGCAATTTCCCCGTTTTTTCCAACAGCTGTGGGGGACTTCCACCGAGTTTTCCGGTGTCGGGAGTTAGATTTTAAATGTGATCGGTGCTTTTTATTTTATTTCATTTTCTGTGCTTCCATTCTGCTTCACCGGCTATTCTTCTAATGTTACTGCTGCCGGTTGTTTTGGACATCTGCTGATGTCATTTCCTACTGAGTTACAACCAATCAGCGTGAGTCTTCTCCACCGGGCCATTCGGACAACCTACTCCAGAGCAGGTACTCAGAAGGTTCCTGAATTCGGACGGCCCGGTCAGGTGGAGGCACGCGCCTGCTGCGAGGTTCCTGTAAATCTACCCTGAAGTTCTTGTAGTGGAAACACGCCTATTGCTCGATTTGATAACTGATTTGGGAACTGTTTCATGTTTTCAGGATGCATTGTATCCAATAGGATCCAGTTTTGGGCCTTAAGGGGCCAGAAATAATCTACTGTTTTTAAAGCTTCTGCTTTATGAGTCAGTACTTTTTTGGTTGGCGAGAAACACTGTACAGGGTGTCAACAGTTCACTAAACCTCTACTGAAAGCCTAGACATTAAAAAGAAGCACAACCCTTCCTTTAAACCGCTTAGACACCCAATGAGACAACAAGTAGATCTTACACTAAGTCTAAATCTAATAGAAACTACAAATGAGAAGAACCGGAAGAGACGACCTGAGCAGAAAATGATTGAAGGAGAAAATTAAGTGCAGACAATATCTGGATTAGCTTCTATGCAAGGGCTTGGGGGGAAAACACAGTTCTGTCTTCTCCTTACACATTGTTCAACACGTGGAACTGTTCGCCCTTCTTTAAAGCCAGGTCGGAGAGTGTTCGAGGGTTGTAGTCATATATGGCCACAAATGTCATCACGCTCTCTGAAAGAATAGAAAGTATGGCCTTAATCACAGAACTTAAGACAGAACAACCAATAGAACAATGTGGAAAAAAACATTTATAAACAAAAGCCAACCCTCTCACCTCCTAGACTGTTTGCAAAAACATTATTGTCAATGCCGCCGAACAGGGATAGTTCAGGACTGGTGACCACTGACTGACTGCTGCTGAGGTCAGTGTCCAGAGTGGGGCTTTGGTTGGGTGTCTGGGACTGCTGAGCAGGGTGGTGACTGTCAGGCGCTCCTCCAAGCCCAATGTGGACCTTGGGTTTACTCTTGTGTCCCCCCATAGCCGAGACCTGCAGTACAATCAAGAGAAAAGTCTGAGGTGGCAGAAAACAATCAACGTAGTTATTGTAACGTTATGAAGTTATGATTTTCAGCTCCTAAACGCTGCCCCTGTACACATTTACACCCGTGTAGGAAACGCCAAGGTCGTCTGTTCCTCAGACTGTTTACATTCCAGGAAGAAGAGCCAGAAGGAGAAGAAGAACGCTTTTCAATAATCAAAGTACTTAATTTGTGATTAAAGCTAGTCGAAACAGATGTTGATCAATAATAATCAAGTGAATGATCTGTTGAATAAAGATGTCATGATTTATGTGTTTAATGAAAACAGGACTACTGCACAGACAGACTGACCCTCAACTCCATAGAAACGCATGACACATTGTTCCAACCAATCAGAGCTTTCGGCTGCCGTAAGAGAATTGTATTATATTATATTAAGTTTAGTTTAGTTACAAGTCAGGTTACAGTTAAAAAGAAAATCAACTAGACATTGGTTTAAAATAGACTGGCCTTCTTGTGTGAGACTTTTGCATTTCACCTCAAATATCCCAACTTTTCCGAGAACAGCCCAGAGACTCCAACAAGGAGAATCACAGCGGAACTGCCTCTTTTGGTTGCAACACTAGCCTCGACTCCACCGAGTGAACACGTGCATCCACACAGAAACATGCTACCGAACTTTGTGGCTTTGGTGTTCACACGTCCTTCAGCAGGGAGGAAGAAGCTGTTTTTGTGGTGTGAAGTTCTGGGGCCTCATCAAACGAACGTTCCTATATCCCTTCCTACAAATTAAATTTCGGATGTCCTGACTTATGAAACATGCGGCGGCCTCTCGTACGCACGTTCCTACGCAATCGTCTGATGATTCATCCCACCTGTGCGTACCCAGGTGCTCGTGTCCGTTCACCCTCATTTACATAAACAAACACCCTCAATTAGCCATATTTGGTCACGCTACGTCCTTAGCATGTGAGGGGATTCTCTGTTTTTTTTTCTGAAAAAATACAAAAAACTTCATTGATTGTGAGATCGAAACACTGGCTGCCGAAACACAAAAGAAAGTTGTAGAGGTTATTAACGTGGTCGGGACAGAGGAGAGGTTCCCGTCGGGAATAAATAAAAGAATGAATCTGATCAGTCATAGAGTAACAGGTTGTCATTTACGTTTTACATTTAAGGAGCCGTTCTGTTTTGAGAGTTTTATTTGAAAATGTTGTCTGAGAGTGCAGCATCATGTGAGCTGTCATTCAGTCTGGTTACTTTGGCAACTCGGTGTGTATGATTGGCGAGAGAGGAGGTTCTGGAGGGTTTTGGCGGATGTAAAATAAAATTGGAATCGGATTTGTGCAGTTTGTCTCTCGCGCCACAAAGGGTCCAAAACCACAGCAAAGGAGAAGGACTGGAATGGTGTTGGTGGGCCCAGGAAAGCAGAAAGAGTCTATAGTTGATATGGAAGTGCTCATCGGGGTAATGGAGGGGCAGTGGAGCTGACGCTGTCCTGAAGTCCACAATCATCTCCACTGTCTTTTTGGACTTTCTGCTCCAGGTTGTTGTCGCTGCACCAGGACAACAGACGTTCCACCTCCCTTCTCTAGGAACACTCATCCCCATGTGAGATGAGACCAATGAGGGTGGTGTCATCTGCCAACTTGACCAGCTTGACAGACTGGTGGCTGGAGGTGCAGACGCTGGTGTAGAGGGAGAAGAGCAGATGGGGAGGGCACAGCTTTGGAAAGTGCTGATGGTCTGAGCGTCTGAGACATTCCTCACATGCTGTCTCCTATATGTCAGGAAGTCGGGGATCCATCGGATGCAGGGAGGCAGAGTCCTCCATTGTGGAGGAGTGAGGGCAACACTCACTGCTCTCCTCTTCCACTGCCCGTCTCCGTGCTGGAACAGGAGCTCCGTGCTTGATGTTTACTGGACAGCAATGGAAATGAACCGCGCATGTGAGAAGCCCCCGCTGGCTGATTCTACTCACCAGTCGAAGGCAATATGTGTGAATTTCTGCCGGCCAATCAGTGGTGTCACCTCGCTCCAAGTCATACCTCATAGGAAGAGGTCTGAAAAGGTCACCGCTGAACAGAAAACGCATTTATGACTCAGATGTGAAACCAAATTTGCCAACCAGACCAGTCCATGCTCTGTCTAGATTCCTGAAAGCAGCCTCCCTTCCCTTCCTGAGCGGTCCGAGCTTGGCTGTGAACCATGGTGTGTTGTTGTTGTAACACACCCTGGTACATCACTATCCTCACATTATGAAGACAGTATATATGAGGTTACAGTGTTTGTGTACCAATCCTGATTATCTGCGGCTGCCCTGAACACCTCCCAGTCTGTTCTTCCACAGCCCGCCCGGTCCACTTTTTAGATTTTCTGACCACAGGTTTGGAGAGCTTCAGTCTCTGTTTGTATGCAGGGATCAGATGAATCCTCACGTGGTCTGATAATCCCAGAGTAGTGTGTGGCATTGTACGATAGCAGCAGTGATCCAGTGGGGTTCTCTTCTCTGGTTGGGCAATTGATTAATTTTTCAATTCAATTCAATTCAAAAATACTTTATTAATCCCAGAGGGAAATTGATCGCTGTAGTAGCTCAGAATAATAATAATAATAATCAAGTAATCAAAGAGTTGTTGTATATTACATCGGCTGTTGGCAGGAAGGATCTCCAATAGCGGTCAGTGTTGCAGCCAAACTGAAGAAGCCTCTGACTGAAGACACTCTTCCGTTGTCGGACAGTCTTGTGAAGAGAATGCTCAGGGTTGTCCATCATTTTCTTGATTCTCTGGAGAATCCTTTTTTGCATTATCTCCTCCAGTGGTTCCGAAACTCTGGCTGAGTCCTTGAAAGGGCTTGGAGTTCCTCCATCTTGTTGGCCAGTGATCTCACATTGCCCATTATGATCGACGGAAGAGATGGTTTGAATTTCCTCTTTCTCTGCCTCCGTATTCTCCTGCTCTGCACCCACGCTTCTTACGTTTGAGCTCATTTGAGATTTGTGGCTTCAGTTGAGGTGTTATTTCAGCCTTTCCAATGTTAATCAGCTGCTCTCGATTGTAAACCAGCTTGTTGCCATGGTTACGCATTATAACAAATGCTCAAAAAGTGAAAAAAGCTAAAAAAAAAATAGCAGTAAAAATCCTCCAAGCTCCACAGCACCAGAAACAGAAAAGTAAAGTGTCCAAAAAATAGTTTTTCTTTAGAAACTAGAAGAAAAAATGCCCAAGAAAAGGCAAAACTTACATATAGTCAACAGAGCTACTCCAACATGCAGCCACCCAGAGCAGCGCAGTTCCGGAAAGAAGTTTTCTGTATTTTGGCAGTTCTGCACTCAGATTACCTTCATTAAAGTCGCCAAGGACAATAACCATGGAATCCAGGTGATTTTAATCCACAAACAGTATGGACGCTGAGCCGCGTGCACGTCAGCGCTCAGCGGGATATAGACAGCAGTCAGGATGAATGAGGAGAGTTCATAGGGAGAGTAAAAAGGCTTAAAGTCGATGAGTAGGTATGCTAGATCAGGAGATCAGTGCTGGGAGATCACAGTCACATTAGAACACCAACCGCCGTTAAAGTAGAAACAGACACCTCCATCTTTGGTCTCGTCAGTGCTCACTGTTGCGGTCCGCACGGAGGAGTTGCAATCCATCTAGCTGGAGCACGCCGTCTGGTCACAAAGCCAGGTCTCCATAAAACTCAAGGTGCAGGATGAAAAGAAGTCTCCGATTGTCCAATTAAACCTTATATTTATTTAATAACAATGACTGATGAAAAATACCAAAATACACACTGACAGTTGACACCATTAATAAAAGACACATGTGCACAAGGACCTTAAAGCAGTTAGTTAAACGTGTATGAGATACTGCGCTTTACCGTGCACATCTGTGAAGCATCCCCATAGCTGTAATCACTGCAATCACAGCCATGTGCAGGAAAATCATAAACCCGGAATTATTCTGGGAGTCAAGCTGCTGCTATCATAAACAGATAGAGCCACAAGGGTGCTGCTAGGGAAAGCCAAAACATTTAAGTGGGAGGAGTGGCAAAGCAATCCTTCTGGAGTTGTGGAAACGCTGGGAAGCGCCATTTATGCTAGTAGCTCTAGCCCCTTCTGATGAACAAGCAAAGGATCTCAATTCCAAACAAAAAGAACAACTTGTGTTGTGAGCTTGATATAGATTGAAAAACTTCAAAACAATGGATCTACGACACCAGATGGGAAGTAACTGAAGGCAAAAGGTAAAATGAGATGAATCTGGTTCTGCTTTCTACCACTTTTGTTGACAGTTTATTCATCGGTACAAAAGGAAACTTCACGTCAAGGAGACATCACCACCACTTAGAAGGGATCTGCAGACTACTTAAATACTACAACTCCACTCCATTGTTTTCAAACATCTGCCCTTCATGTCAAAAACAGCAACAATGAATGGAGCGAGTCTTCGGTGTGTATAAATACCCCTGGTGCTCTTCAGGTGAGGGATCCACATATAGCTAGAGATAAAGGGTCTGAGGCACTCAGGAGAATGATGATGATGATGATTAAAGAGCCTTCATTATCCATGGCAAGTTTCAGCCACCATGACGAAGGCCAGGTGTTTACTATTGTGTGTTCATGTCGCTGTTATCCTAGTTGTGTATGTTCAAGATCTAATTTATTAAGCTGCTTAAAAGTACTACAGGGAGTGCAGAATTATTAGGCAAGTTGTAGTTTTGAGGAATAATTTTATTATTGAACAACAACCATGTTCTCAATGAACCCAAACAACTCATTAATATCAAAGCTGAATGTTTTTGGAAGTAGTTTTTAGTTTGTTTGTAGTTGTAGCTATTTTAGGGGGATATCTGTGTGTGCAGGTGACTATTACTGTCATAATTATTAGGCAACTTAACAAAAAACAAAGATATACCCATTTCAGTTATTTATTTTTACCAGTGAAACCAGTATAACATCTCCACATTCCCAAATATACATTTCTGACATTCAAAAACAATACAA